GCGTCTCCCGCTCCCGAGCTGCCCGGCACAGAATCGAAGTGAGTGTTGATCAAGAGGGCCGCCTCGCTGGTGGCATTTTTGGGTGACAGCTTGACCACCACATTCTGGACACTTTGATAGACATTGACCATGGACCAGAGCAGGTAGTTGCCCGACGCAATCTGCACATCCGTCTCGATGCTGTACAGATCCGTGCGGGCACCGTCAATGATTTCGGTAATCTCGCTGAGAAGGAACTGAACGGCCACCTGCTCGTTGGCTGCACTGCCCACGACCTTGGGTCCAATTTTGGATAGTCTCAGGAGGGTGTTCTCGGCCCGCTCACCAATGAATTGGCCCGGCTGCTGGAACTCATCCTGTTGTTTCATCAGACGCGGCATGCGATGGAAACTCGACACCACCACCAGGTAGAAGAGCAGGAACCAGAAGGACACAAAGAGTGGCGCCCAATACCAGCCGATCTTACTCCGATTATAGATGATCTTCATGTTCTCGTACTTTGATTTCATCTTGAGCTGCAAGTGAAAGCGAAAGTGAAAAGTTAATCAAACTGCATTCCATTTGTCACCAGAAACTGAACTGAACAAAAAGTGTCACTGTCCTCGCCCATTAATTGGCTTCAATTGCCTGACGGAGTGTGACACATTCAGCTGATAAAGCCAGAGATTCCAGTGACGTGTCATCGCCAATAATCTCTCTACACTTTCGATGGTGAAATGGGATGATGGGGAGCAGTGTTAATACCGCCACTTGAACAGCGAGCACGGATTTAATAATTAGGCGCTCGGATAAGCGAGTGCGATCAACTCGAAGCTGTCAGGCCACTGAACGATCCTCATTCTACAAAGAACTGATGTAGAGGTGTTTCCTAGTATTTTGTCTTCACAGACACAGATAACAGCACAGAAAAAAAAACAGGTTGATAGTGACTATCATAGACCTCGAGAATAACAACACTTTATTCAAATGATCTGCTGCAGATAACTCCTATCGGATTGTTCAATAAGTAGGTTCGCCTGGGCAGGAAATTAAGTGTGAGACTAGACGAGTTGGAAATCTTGAGTACCCAAAAGTTTAGGGGAAAATACCAACGAAACGGGAACGACACAGACTTGACGCATACGATTAGCTGTAGGAAACGCCCGGCATTTTGTTTAGCCATTATATGAGGCACATCTAAATACAAACTGGGCCGGAAAACATCTGTTGACCATTCGGCGTGGCATCAATGACAACGACGATGATGAAATGCTGCTGGCTTTTAGATACAAACTATCGACAGCAATGGCTAGTGCCAGAGATGCAGCCTTAAGGAAATAAACAATAGACCAAACATTTACGAGTATATTCAGTATTTTAATAATCTGACAAATCGGCAAAAGTATACATAAGTTGTGACCGTCAGCATTTGAAGCAAATGGGCATTGAACGGGACAAAATTTGTAATTTTTTGAGCGATATTTCATTCGTATTTATAGCCAGGCTGGGCCGTAATATTTTCGTTTAATGTTCACACATGTGTGTGGGGTAAATATTAAATAACAAATTGGGTATATTTTCCCAGACTGAATAGCTGATACACTACTGCTAATGTGTTAGAGAAAGATCAGTGGATTGCCAATCAAGCAAGGGAACACGACTGTTGGGAAAGGCGACAGCTGCACTGTTTAGGAATACAAATGTTTTTTTTTTCCAGTGTGTATTTTATAAGTCTTTATTTTTTGGAATTCAAGAGCGTTCAATTGAAGAGTTAAAAGTGAGTTTATACTTGAATTTAGTTTTCATCAGCAATATGTATGTATGTATCTGCAGGGTGCACAAAATTATTTGCGTTTCGTAGTTGTACCAGAGGAATGCAATAAAAACGGGAACTATGCCAGACGATCGCACAATATGTACGTACGTATTGTGTATGGTATGATGGTATGGTCCATATTGTCGAACGTGTCCCACAAACTACTTCAGCTACAGCATGGCGGGGGCAAGATGATCAACGACTGGTAGGGCAATTAAACGGCGGCCAATGTTCGTTCTCTCTGCTGCCAAGCGAATCCGAGTGCTCTGCATATTGCAATTTGTGTCGCACGGCCTCGCGACTTCGACCCATTTCCATTGACTCCCAAGTGACCCTGCCAGAGGCGATTACGGCGAAAAAGTGTCGATTAGCAGCGGCCTATAGGGAATTGGTATACCCCTGCTCACAGCTCTCTTCCATCTGCACGTCTTACTCTTCTCCGTTATCGATCGACCCAATCAGCTCGCGTACAACCACTCAAAACAAACAAATAAACCGAGCCACAGCTCTCTGTGTGTGGGTGCCACGCCTACTTAGCAACAACAAAAAGAGAAGCGGATAAGGTGGGGGTAGAAGAAAAGAAAAACTATTTAAAGAAAATACCATTTGAATGGGAGTGGGGAAAATGCAGAAAGATTCAAAACAAAAGTTAAATCTTGAATAAGGAAAAATACAAAAAAAGCCGAGGCGGCGGCAATCAACTGTGACAAGAACAAGCGAGAAGGCTAGCTTAGGGTCGGGTGCGACGCTTTACATACCCTGGGATAGCACTTGTTATGGGAACTGAAGTACATAGTCCTACGTTTCCTATCACAATTGGGTAGGCTTTCACGCTACATCTAATTCAGCCGATATTTCCTATGGTAGTTTATGATGATATGTAGTTCTCTGTCACCCAAATCTTTACATGGCAAACACTTGGGCAGACAGGGTATACCCGCTGCAAGGGTATACAAACAGCAAGCGATGCCGGCTACAGCAAGAACTGACGCGACAGGCGAAGGCAGCGGGAAAGAAGAGGTCCAAAAAACAATCATAGTATCTGCCACAAACAAATGCAGATGCTTGCCACCACACACACACACACACACACACAGAGGTCACACACACATCACACAGAATACATATATGTATATGTCGCGACACGCTGCAGGCTAAAGTCAATAACCTGAAGGAAAGGAAGTTGTTGCGGTTGCACTTGCGGTTGTTTGTTGTCTGTGGAAAGAAGTCAAGCGGCGGGTGGAGGGGGGCGCAGTCTCGCCGAAGCCTTGCAACTGGAACTCCTGCGCTCTCATCTCACCTCCCGCATGCAGAACTTTTGCGAACAGAACACTCCTCTATGTTCTGTTCTCGACGATCGCTTGGGGCACTGTGTGTGGAGACAACGACAACAAATTGTTGGCACACGAAATTATTAGCACATCTGCCCAAAAATAAACGCAAAACTATTCGGGTTTAATGTTGACAGTATTTGGCCGAAATTGTATTTGAAACGCGGTCACTAGAGACGCGAATGAATTTGGTCCGAGGGATCAGCTGATTCAACGAGAAGCGCATCTGTCCCGTTCAACGGTCGGCGGAAGTCTGCTTCTGCATCTACGTCTGAGGCTGCTGCGTTGTTCCCCAACTGCCCGAATGCCGAAGAGAACTTGGCTCCACAGGCCGTCGCGCCGGTCTCTCTCTTTCGCTCTCCCCAAGCAGTTGTGTGCTTCGGATCACTCTCACTCACTTGGTTGCTGGGCTGATGCACTTGACACGTCACTGGCTATTGTTAACCCGATCCTCCTTTGCTCAAATTCTGCTATGCAGAGGCCAATGCTTACGGTAGACGGACTAGGAGACGACTAAAACGATCGCTTATGGCCAGTGGCAATTTTATAAGTACTTCCACTCCCACACCACAGCTGATGGATTTGTGTGTTGGATTTCAGCCATTTCCAAGTGCTTTAGCTTCAAGAGCTGCCGCTCTGCGCTCTGCTGGGGCTTATCGTGGAATTATCAGAATTGGACACCTAATCAAGTAATTTGACAGGAATAGAACACGCTCAAGCACGTCTGCCTAAGAGGGGCGCGGTTGGGAGGGCAGCCGGCAATAGGCACTGCCATTGCCCATGTCCGTTTTTATTTCCTCGACACGTTCATCGGCTCAACGTGGATAAGCACTGCATAGTGATTCCATGGATTCGAGCACTAATTGGCCGCAATCACGATTATGTGCACCCGATTAATGGGCTTTGTGAACAAGTATTAAAGTACTTGGATTCAGCGGTCAGTGTTCTATAGAAACTGAAATTATTTATGATAAGGATACGGCAGCCCGTGGCAGCGATGCAATTAATTTTAGCATGTCTTATTTTTACAATTTACCCACCATGGCATACATCACCTAATTAAAATTGCAATTCTGAAAGATAAGAATTATATGGCCCAATGGAATGAGGGTTTTATCGTACTTTACGAGTATTATACCCAAACAGAACTTCTTAAGGAAGATAGCGGCTAATTGGCACATATACTCGTATACTCGTATATTTTCTAAATTTCTCCATAAATGCATAAAGCATATATATTCGTTTTGATGTTTGCTGAAGCACTTTCAGATATATTCCAATGCTTTTGGATGCTTGGGAACGGACAGTTAAGGTGACTCTCTGCCCCGTGCAGTCGAGCGAGAAAATGGGTTGACATAATTCGATGGCAGCAGCAGTCCGCTCCACCCCACCCCCAGTTTGCCAGCTCTGGAGTCTGCCTACTCAGCCGGAACGCGTGCAACAACAGCGACGATCCATCCATTGGGCAGGTGAGTCTGAAATACATACAAAAATAATTCAAATCACGCAAACGGTTTGTTAATCAAGCGAGTTAAACAACGGAACTCGATCCCAGATGAGGATTCGCAAATGGGCTACAAGGCGGGGCAAAAGATAGGCAAACAAAAGGGGAATGGAATGACACATAAACGAAATGAAATCAACGACAGACTGGCAACAACAGCAACAACAACAGCTCACAAATTAATTAGTAAACTCTGTAGAAATGCGAGAGCATTGCGAAACAAGTGCCAGGGTGCCAGGGTGCCAGAGACAAAGGCAGCCATGGATGATGGGGTAGGGGGCATGGGTTTGATATTGTACAGGGATCGGAACTGGCAAATGGGGCTGGGTCTGTTCGGCAACTGATGCTAATGTTAGTCAGTCAGAGACAACGATAGCAAAGACCCACTCGGTCTCGATTTTACGGGAAAATCTGCTGAATCTGTACGGAAGGAGAGCCTTCCAAGGTGGCGCGTAGCAGTGACGTGTGACGGGCCTAATCAAGCCGTTTCTATACCGTGTTGATTTATGGTTCGAAACTTCTAAGTCGAAGGTGCCGCCGCAAAAGTGTATCATCGAGAGCTGCACGAAACGAGGAAATACGAAATATCTGGGAAATTGTTTCTGTTCTTTTACGATACACAACAGCATTTCTCCATAATAAAGATAAAACTCGTTTAGCAATGGCTCTATTGTCTTACCCACAATAGCAGCTGCACACACTACTGTAACACCCCCCGAATGCGAAAACAAGAAGTCTCATAAAATCCAATCCACACGCGATCGGCGCCCAAAGGGGTGGTGTATGGTGTATAATAAATACGAGCAGTACTTTAGTGCTTGTTTATCGTTCCGCTGCCATGATATTGTCGAGCACTCGATACCGATAATTTACCTTCTTCGTCAAATTCCTCAAAGTGTTGGCGTTTGCCTTCATATATCTTTGGCAGACCCACCAGACTCGCACCTCAATCGGAACTCAAGGGTGACGGGGCCCAGACGTGATCAAGCAAAATCCTTCAAGTGCCAGTGCTGCTTAGGCTTCTTCGAAGAATACTTCCTGTGAAAATCTCAATACAGTTCCAGAAATCTCTAAAAATGGGTGTACGTATGGAATTAATGCGAGTTTATGGAGTGCCAACAATATGAAAAGTGCAAAACAAATTAATTATAAAGTGAAATTAAAATCATTTTGTGATTTATAGAGTGAAAGTCCTTGTGTAAAGAAAGAATTTTATTTCGTAATTCCAATTTTTGTTCAGAGTCCGGAAGTAAAGTCTGAAAAGTTATCTACATGAAATTATTTAATTCTGGGAAGCTAATTAAAAATAAAAATGCATGCAAAATATAAGAAAAATTGTGATAAATCAATTTCCTGAGTCCCTTGAATATACTTAAAACAGAAGAGACCCCTAGCAATTAAAGAAAAAGCAAAGGATATGAAGAGTGGCTGGTCAACGTTCAAAGTCAAGGAGAGTCAGCAAAAATGAACAATAAACTGTGACAGATCAAATACGTGTGTACGCGTAGATAAGAAATCGATTAAGAAACTTAAACCACACCCTTCAAAGATGCCGCGAGCTCTGGCAATTTTTTTCGTTTGCAGTTTCAAGCGATAAAAGTCGTTGGTAATTCGTTATAGAGTGGCTATCGGTTTATGGCCCCAACTTGAACGGTTAACGATCGATAACCATCGTTATCTAACACTGACCACACGCCCGTGAATCATGGATGAACACGCGACGAAGCACGATTTCAATTCTGATCGTTCTGTAATCTGCAAAATCAAGAAAAGAAAGTAGAGAAAAGTTGTATTAGCTTATCGGTGCGACGGATTGTAAATCAATAAACATTCAGCTTTGTATGCGCTCAAAAGCTCAGCCACAGCTGGGATGCCATCCGGCCCAGTAACGCGAATTGTATGGCATCGGACGTGTGCAGAAGTCGCCAAGTTCACGTGTTCCGAAGTAGCTTCGATTAGAAGTCCCAGATTAGATATGGATAATCAAGCTTTAATTAACAATAATTGGAATTTATAGAGAAACAACTCGCAGCTTAACACTCAGCACTCTCTCTTCGACAGTTCAATTCCAAGTATCACATCGACGTGGACTTCGAGGTGCCCAAGAAGCTGCAATGGTACTACGCTCCCGTTTTCTTTGCCTTCTGGCTGTGCCTCTACCTGTCGCTGGTCAACACCCAGATAAACAGCATGCCCAAGCCGCTGATGCGCAGCGACGAGGCCAGTCATCCGCGCTCCTTCATAGCACAGCGTGCCGAGGACACTCTCATCGAACTCACCCGCATTGGGCCCCGCGTCGTGGGGTCGGTGGCCAATGAGGTGGCTACCGTTGAGTTTCTGCGCGCAGAGGTGGCCAAGGTGGAGGCCGAGATGAGCGATCTTTACGAGATTGAGATCGATGTGCAGCAGGCAAGCGGCGCCTACATGCACTGGGAAATGGTCAACATGTACCAGGGCATTCAGAACGTGGTCGTGAAGCTGAGCGAACGCAACTCCAGCAACGAGAACTTCCTGCTGATGAACAGCCACTATGACTCGGTGCCCGGCAGCCCCGGTGCCGGAGATGACGGCTCGATGGTCGTCTCCATGCTGGAGGTCATGCGTGTGATAGCCAAAACAGGCGATCCGCTGGCCCATCCAATTGTTTTCCTGTTCAACGGAGCCGAGGAGAATCCCCTTCAGGCCTCGCACGCCTTCATTACACAGCACAAGTGGGCCAAAAACTGCAAGTAGGTCAGCCCCAGCAGCAACAGCTGCTCGTCTGGATGCACCTCATGCTCCCATCTCTTACCTCACCCCACAGAGCTCTCATCAATCTGGACTCTGCGGGCAGCGGCGGTCGGGAGATCCTCTTCCAGTCCGGACCCAATCATCCCTGGCTGATGAATTACTATCGCAATGTGCCGCATCCATTCGCCAACACCCTGGCCGAGGAGATGTTCCAAGCTGGCGTTATTCCATCCGACACGGACTTCCGCATCTTCCGCGACTATGGCGGCGTTCCCGGCCTGGACATGGCCTACATATTCAATGGCTATGTGTACCACACCAAGTACGATCGGATAAACGCTTTTCCCAGGGCCTCCTTCCAGCACACGGGCGACAATGTGCTGTCGCTGGCCAAAGCTCTGGCCAATGCACCGGAATTGGACGACACTGCCGTAAGTTTCGGCTTGCCGCATACCGAATGCCTACAAAAATGTCGCATACTTTCAGGCGCACGCTGAGGGCCACAACATCTTCTATGACTTTCTGGGCTGGTTCATGATATTCTACACGGAGACCACGAGCATCATTGTGAACGTTGTGGTGTCCCTGCTGGCCCTATTGGCCATTGGCATCTCGTTGTACTTCATGTCCGTGCGCTCGGGATGCAGCTGGAAGGGTGTCCTGCTGCGCTACGCCATCACAATTGGCATGCAGCTCGCCTCCCTCGTTCTGGCGTTGGGCCTCGCCCTGCTCGTTGCCATCTTTATGGATGGTGTGAATCGCTCGATGAGTTGGTTCACCTCCTCGTGGACGATCTTTGGCCTCTACCTGGCGCCGATCATCTTCGGCATGAGCATCCTGCCAGCCCTGTATCTGGAGAAGACGAAACGCGACCCCCTGGGCCTGGGCTTCCGCATCCAGCTGTTCATGCACTCGCACTGCTTCTGGCTGATCGTGATTATGGTCACGCTGACGGGACTGAGCATTCGATCGGCCTACTTGATAATGCTCTGTGTGCTGTTCGATATTGTGGCTTTGATTGTGAACCTGGTGACCAAGTGGCATCGCAAGGGTAAGTAGAAAACTCTCAGGACTTTGTTGGATTCAATTAGTACTCTATCCACCTCTCTGTCCACAGCCTATTTGTTTGCCATTGCTGTCACCGTTTGCCAGATCCTTCCGTTTGTTTACTTCACGTATCTGTGCACGGCGGCTCTCCTCACTCTGATGCCCATGCAGGGACGCTCGGGTTCTTCGTCCAACCCCGATATGGGCATTGCGGCCCTTGTCTGGCTATTTTCCCTCATGTTTGCGGGCTTTATAGTAAGTGTGAATTCGATTGCCGGAACTGGCTTGTGGCTAAGAGAACTTGTTCGTTGCTAGGTACCGCTGATCATGTTCTTCCGCAAGACGAGAACGATTGTGCTGTGCTTCCTTGGAATTACAATCCTGTTCATTATAATTGCGGTCACGAATGCCGGATTCCCCTACAAGGAGAAAACCTCCGCCCAGCGCTACTCATTGATCGTAAGTGACACCCCAATCGTGACTCTCACTATCCAGTTTGCATCTGATCGTGGCCCATTCCCAGCATGCACATCGCCGTCTACATAACGCGGATGGAACCACTCGCATGGACGAATCAGGCCTGTATATATATCCCCAGGATCGGCGCATCGAAATTGCACGCGGTAAGCGTTTTATTTTTCCGTATATAATTCTCTCGCTTAATGGCCCACTTGATGCTCAGACGAAATCAATGCCCTCGGAGAGGTGCAGGAGGTCAGCGAAACTTGCGACGAGGAAATGTTTTGCGGGCTGCCCCTGTACAATCATCGCTGGAACAAGGCACGCAAGTATAGCCTGTGGGTGCCGGTGCCCGAGCTGCCGGAGATACCCACGGAGTATCCAACGCTCATTCTGCAGGACACCAGCGAGCTGGAGAGTGCCACGCGGCGGCGTTTCAACTTCTCGCTGAGTGGTCCGGATCACATGGGCATCTTCGTGAATCTGAAAAATGATGCCAAGCTGGTGGACTGGTCCTTCAACGACACTCTTGTTCGGGAGCAGGCAGAACCGCCGTATATGGTGTATTTCTCCTACGGACTGGACAACAGTACCCTAGAGTTTACCATCGATGTGGAGGTGAGCTTAAAGCACAGCCTTATTCCATGCAAATACTGATTTAATGCTTGCAGAAGACAACTTCAACGTTCGATACGCCCACTCTGGAGATTGGCATTGGCGGTCACTGGGTGAATCAGGATATAACTGCCAATGAAAAGCTGAGAAAATACATAGATCGATTTCCATCGTACGCCTACATACAGGGCTGGGTGGGGTCCTACGAGACCTGGTATTTCTAAGGGGCAGAGAGATTCGTTTTGCTTTACTAATGGTAGTCATTAAGCGTTATCGATTAACTGTATAGAATCTGATAAAAAGTACACATACATATTATATATATTTTATTAAACCAATAAAACTACGAATACTACTCATATAATGGAACGTCTTTTTTTGTGTTTCTTTTTGGTTAATTATGCATTGCATTCATTCCCCAAAGATGTTCGTGAATGGCACATTGTTTACTTAGGGCGTACGAAACACGGGCAAAATAAACCACAGGTGTGTAATTAGCCACAAACAATATTATTCCACTAGGACTGTCTATGAAATGTTAGCCAGAGAGCCACTAACGCACGTGCCAAGGGGCCAGCTATCTTCATTTCGAGTCTGGTGATTGCTGCGCTCGCCAGACGCTCTCCATAATCTGCGAGATTTGAAACTATGATAAAGAGGCACTTGCTAAAAGAAAGAGCGGAGGCAAAAAGTTTAAAATAAACATAGAGAGCCCATGAAATTCCAGATTAAACATTTTAATAAGCATCGGCAATGATGATGATGATGCGACTGAGAGAGATCTCATCTCAGTTGGATTGTTTCTGCCCAACGATGATGTGGGGCTCCATGCGTACGCGTTCTGATTCTTTCGAGAGTGAGGTGAGGCAACATTCAGTGATTGTGGGTGAAAGTTTACATTAATAATGACTTGCTGGACTGATAACAGAATTTATACCTTCATTTGAGCAGCTTAGGTGTCTGATAAGTGCCTGTAATAAATCGGTTATCAAGTTTTTTAATTTTTATTAGTCAATGAGTGAATCATATGAAGCATATGTTCCAAGTTTGTTCATCGTGTATCCAATTTCTTTTATGGCTCACCTATCTGAAGATATTTGCCGGTCCCCAAAATTGTGTACATATGTATGTATGTACATATATACTTGAAATATAATAGGAAACAATAATTGTTAAGTTGCGGTGGTCTGGTCTGTTATCATAAAGATCTCCTATATGTGAAGAAAGGAGTGTAGAGAGCTCCGTGGGTGATTGAGATAAGGCAATTGAATTGATATCAGCAATTATACAAGTAATGGTTATAAAAACATAAATCTTTTGCTCATAAATGAGGGAGGGCTGTTTAAAAAGTTATCTAAAAATTGCATGAGAGCTTGTGTATATTCGGAATTTTTTGGATATATTTATCCAGGATATTCCCATTAATATCAATTCGGATTCAACAAAAGAAAACGTGAAAAGGTGTAATGAAAATTTATTATTTATATTTATTGCACATATTGAATATAGTATATACGTTTCGCGTATCGCTTGAAGCTGGTTCTGTCATAGCCACCCTCGTCGTTGCGATGAAACTTAATTAAATTTCATTTTTCATAAAAGCATGCATATATCCAAGAAGAACCACTAATATCCGTATGTGTACGGAGTATGTATGTAGTACATGCAATAAATTAATTTATATCATGGCCACACGTGTATCCAATCAGCGCCCCTGGTTTTTCGCAGATATAAAAGGAATTGGCGTTGGTCCCATTCTGGAGCATTCAGTGTGCAGAGCTGTAGCTGCAGTAAAGGCAAATGGGTGACAAGGACAAGCTTGTATGAGCAATTTCCAAAACTGAGATTTTCCGTTTCCACTAAACGTATTCTGGATAATTTGATTTGTCTTTCAGATTTCTGACGAGCCCGTCGAAGCTGGTTCTCTGCCGCCGAATAGTGGCAGCAAACAGGAGCAGAGTCCCAGAGGTCCCTGGTACATGGCCAGCGGCTTCCTGTCGTTCTGGCTGCTCCTCTTCTTTGCCGTGGTGGTGCCACTGTTCTACCGCCTGCCCGCAGCCCTGACCATCGAGGATGTGCCCAAGGGTCTGTTCATTGCCGAGCGAGCACAGGCAAACCTTTACGAATTTGACAAAATCGGACCCAAGGTGGTGGGCAGCGATGGCAATGAGAACAAGACCGTTCAGTTCCTGCTCAAAGAACTGGCGCTGATTGAGCAGAATGTCCTGGATGAGTACTTTGACATTGAAATCGATCTCCAGACTGTCTCCGGCTCCTATATTCATTGGACCATGGTCAACATGTACCAGGGGGTGCAGAACATCGTCATCAAGCTGAGCCCCAAGAACTCCACCAGCGATACCTACCTCCTGGTCAACAGCCACTTCGACTCGAAGCCCACCAGCCCATCGGCTGGCGATGCCGGTCAACTGATTGTCACAATCCTGGAGGTGCTCCGCGTGATGTCCAGTACCAAGCAAACCTTCGAGCATCCGATTGTCTTTCTGCTGAACGGTGCCGAGGAGAATCCACTGCAAGCCTCGCACGGCTTCATCACCCAACACAAATGGGCAGCCAACTGCAAGTAAGCAATGCGAATCGATTCCCAATCAAACAGAACAATCAATAACACAGACCCCTCCAACACTTTGAAGGGTCCTCATCAATTTGGATGCAGCTGGCGGGGGAGGTCGCGAGATTCTCTTCCAGAGTGGCCCCAACCATCCCTGGCTCGTAGACGTAAGCAACCCTGAAGCTGCTGCCATCTGTGGCCAACGAAACTAAGCCAAGTTTTTCCCATATTTCAGTACTACAAGAAGAACGCCAAGCATCCATTTGCCACCACCATGGCTGAGGAAATCTTCCAAACGGGTATCCTGCCATCGGACACGGATTTCACCATATTCACCAAATACAGTAGTCTCGTCGGTAAGCAACAGCAACCAAAATATGTGTAACTTAATAGCTAAAAATATAAACTATTCCTTGCTGCAGGTCTGGACATGGCCCAGTGCATCAACGGCTACACCTATCACACCAAATACGATCGCTTCGATGTGATTCCCCGCACTTCTATTCAGAACACGGGCGATAATGTTCTCAGCCTGGTCCGCGCCCTCTCCAATGCCACAGAGGTGCATGATCCAGAGGTAAGTTCATCCAGTCTAACTAAGAATATTATTATATTTAAATCGTTTAATCAGGCACACGCAGCGGGACACGCCATCTTCTTCGACGTGCTGGGACTGTATTTCATCAGCTACTCGGAGAGCACTGGTGTGATCCTCAACTATGCCGTGGCTGCAGCTACCCTTGTCCTGATCTTTGTGTCCGTGTGCCGCACCGCAAGCGTCTCCAATGTCTCCACGGCCCACATCGTTGGCCTGTTCATTCTGATTTTCGTGGTGCAGATCATTGGTTTCGTTCTTGGCCTGGGACTGCCCGTTGTGGTCGCGTATTTGTTCGACAAGTACGGCCTCTCCCTCACCTACTTCGCCACTCCGGCGCTTATGATCGGCATTTATGTGTTTCCCAGTCTGCTAGGACTTAGTTTGCCCTCGTTCATCTACTTGAAGCTGCAACGGAGCGTGAGTAGTCTGAATACCGTTCATACACATGCATTTCAGACTAAAGCAATGCCATTTTCCATACAGGAAAAGATTTCCTTTGCCCAGCAACTGCAAATGGTGCTGCATGGACACGCTATCATCCTGGCCATTCTCGCCCTTGGATTAACTTATTATGGACTGCGATCCGCCTACGTGATAACATGGACGCTCATCTTTTACGTGATTCCCCTGACCATCAATCTTCTCACGACGCTGCACGATCGCGGCTTCTCCTGGACGGGCGTCCTGAAGCTTGTCCAGATCATTCCGTTCCTGTACAACAGCTATCTCTTCTACACCTTCCTGGTTATTCTCTCTGCAATGATGGGCCGATTCGGTAGATCGACCAACCCCGATCTAATTATCTCTGCTCTGAATGCCTTGGGAACTATTTTTGCCATGGGCTTTTTGGTAATATTTACTCAAGTATATTCCCTCTACAGCTATCTAACAATGCAAACATCATATAGATTCCCCTTATCAACGTGTTCCGACGACCAAGTATGATCCTCCTCGTCCTGCTGGCCGTCACAGGTCTGAGCATCTACACAGCCAGCTCCACCCAAATCGGATTCCCCTATCGCCCCAAGACCAACGTGGAGCGAGTGCCCTACCTGGTGAGTACTTGCTGTACAGTGGCATATCCCTGGACATTCCATCAAAACTAAAGGGATCCATCATTCCAGCAAGTGCGACGAACCTTCTACGAGTACGATGGATCCGTCAGCAAGGACGACTCCGGCTATCTGTTCAACTTCCAGGACCGCCGTGGACCTGCACCCCTGAAGGGAACCAAAGTGAATCTCACTGGCCTGGCTAGCATCGAGTCGGACTGCTCCAAGTACATGATGTGTGGCGTTCCCCTCTACGATCACCGTTGGGTGAAGAACCGTCTAAAGGGAATGTGGCTGCCACGCAACGCACCCATCGAAACCCCATCGGTGCCCACGCTCGAGCTGCTGAACAAGACTGTGCTGGAGGACGGCAAGACCGTGCGGTTAGAGTTCACAACGGCGGTTACCGATCACACCAGTGTGTTCATTCAACCCTACGAGGACGTGGCCGTAACCAACTGGACATTCCCCACCGCTTATATCGGACAGCAGACGACATATCACATCTACTTCTCGCATGGCAAGGATGACACGGCACTCTCCTTCTTCATCGAACTTTCGGTGAGTCCGCTTGTTGGTTTCAAGACTCTTTGGAGTGGATCTTGATTTTGGCATTTTCTTCTTGCATTAACACAGAAACCCGATGGCGACTTCAATGTGCCCCTTTGCCAGGTGGCAATGTCATATCATTATATTAACGATGAAGGCGATGAGCTCAGCCGGAAGTTTGCGAAATCCTTCCCCTCCTATGCAGCGCTGGTCCAGTGGCCCACCGCCTACCAACGTTTCATTTATTAAGCGGATTCTTGCGGCCTGAATTGTGTGTGTTCCAAAACCCCCATCGCAGACCGTACTCTGTCCATGGAAGCAGGCGTTCAACCCTGACTAAAGTTGTGTGGCGACAACGCACCTTGCCTTGTCGTAGTCAACTTGAAACACCAATTATCCATATCAGAAAATAATAAAAATAATGAACACACGCCTGTGCAATTAAGCTCTAAATCAACCGTGATACAAATCTGAGCCATAAATGATTTTATAGCAGATTTAGCAAATTATTCAAACCAGTATTTTTTGGGTGAATTTCAATCAAAACGGGATTCCCCTCCCAGCTAGGAGGGATCTCATCTGTGGCAGCCCAGTCTTAGATTTTGTTTTGCAGTGGGATTAATGCAGATTTGTTCTCGTGCTCCTTGATGACTGGAATACTCAAAATATTCCAAAGTCTGGCCTAATAAATTATACTAATCAAATGGCGATTAGGATAAGTTGTCTCGAGTACTTTCCCAGCAATTGACCGGAGGCAGATAAGTACTAGGTGTACTTTACGCCCACGCAGAGCAGATATAAAAGTATCTCGGAGTTTTCTTTGGACAAGCAGTTTCATTCCCGACAGCGGCCAGTGAGGTTCTGCATACAATACTTTGGTCATGGGAGACAAGGACAAGCTCGTAAGGAAACGGACTGCCTCCTCCCTATTTGAATTATGAACATTCACAATTTACAATTCGGTAGATCTCTGACGTGGAGTCCGTCAAGGACACGGCTCCGATTGCCGCGAAGGTGGCCAAACTGGCACTGAAGGCAAATCGCCCCTGGTACTTTGGAGCTGGATTTCTGCTCTTCTGGGCCATGCTCTTCGTGTCCATTGTGGTGCCACTCTTCTATCGCCTGCCCACACCTCTGACGGTGCACGATAGCAACCAGGGCGCATTCATTGCGGAACGGGCCCACAAGACGCTCGCTGGACTGGCCAGCATTGGCACAAAGGTGGTCGGCAGCCAGGGAAATGAGGTTAATACGGTGAATTTCCTGCTAAATGAATTGGAGCTGATCAAGCAGCAGGTCCTGACCGAGTACTACGACATTGAGATCGATGTCCAAGTTGCTTCGGGTTCCTATGTGTTTTGGACCATGATCAACATGTACCAGGGTATCCAGAATATCGTCATCAAGCTGAGCCCCAAGGGGTCCACCAGCGACACCTACCTCTTGGTCAACAGCCACTTCGACTCGAAGCCCACTAGTCCGTCGGTGGGCGATGCCGGACACATGGTATCCACTATTTTGGAGGTGCTGCGCGTGATCTCCACATCCAAGCCCTCATTCCAACATCCGATTGTCTTTCTGCTGAACGGTGCCGAGGAGAATCCACTGCAAGCCTCCCATGCCTTCATCTCCCAACACAAATGGGCACAATTCTGCAAGTAAGCAATCTATAGATCTCCATAGATCTCATGGGTCGAAATATTAACGTATTATTATTATAGGGTTGTTATCAACCTGGATGCCGCTGGAAGTGGAGGTCGCGAAATTCTCTTCCAGAGTGGCCCCAACAATCCCTGGCTGTTAAAGGTAAGTAATCCATCGGGGAAGCTCCTTTAGAGGCTCCTAAATGTACATTGCAATTTTTTATAGTACTACAAAGAGAGCGCCCTGCATCCGTTTGGAACCACCATGGGTGAGGAAATCTTCCAAACGGGTCTCCTGCCCTCAGACACGGATTTCGGCATTTTCAATACCTACGGAAACCTCGTGGGTAAGTGCAAAGGAATATCTGCATATGGTATTGGGTTTTCAGACATTCTTTGCCACCAAAAGGTTTCGACATTGCCCAGTGCATCAATGGCTTCGTATACCACACCAAGTACGATGACTTGGATGTGATTCCTCAGGGTGCGCTCCAGAATACCGGCGATAATCTGCTTAATCTGGTGCGGGCCTTGGCAAACGCCCCAGAGCTGCGCGATGTAGAGGTGGGTACAGGTACAGGTGAATACGTGTCTGAACGGATCTAACAGCCTCTTGATCTATCCAGGCATTTGCTGAAGGACACGCCATCTTCTTTGACTTCCTGGGCCTGTTCTTCATCAGCTATTCGTCCACCAGTGGCGAATATCTCAACTATGCCGTGGCTGGTGCTGCTGTCATTTTGGTTTATATATCCCTCCTGCGCATAGCGGCTGTCTCGAATGTATCGGCGGCGGATGTCCAGGGGTGGGGTGTCCTGCTGCTGGTTGTGCAAGTCGTGGCCTTCGTTCTTGGCCTAGCACTTCCCATTGTTGTGGCGTACCTTCTGGACAAGTACGGGCTGTCGCTGAGCTACTTTAGCAGTCCCATACTGGTTGTCGGTCTCTTTGTGTGCCCAAGTCTCCTGGGACTGAGCCTGCCCTCCACCATCTACTTCACACTGTTCCGCAATGTAAGGCTCCACAGGAATGGAATTGATTTCAGCTGCCAATTACTAATCTTTCACTCTACTTTTGCGTTTCAGAGCAAGGTCTCCTTTGCCCACTACATCCAGCTGGCGTTACATGGCCACGCCGTTGTCCTGGCCGCTCTCGGGGCTGCTTTGACAGCCTATGGCCTGCGATCGGCCTATGTGGTAACATGGACACTCCTCTTCTACGTGATTCCATTGGCCATCAACCTGCTGACGACCATCCATGATCGTGGCTACGCCTGGACGACCATCCTTAAGCTATTCCAGATCTTTCCGTTCCTGTACAACAGCTATCTCTTCTACACATTCGTTGTGGTGCTCACCCCCATGATGGGACGCTTTAGCATGTAAGCAATGCCAAACCATCAGCTGCTATGGCCTCTCAACCCCATCCCAATCCCCTTTTAGGTCCACCAATCCAGACTTGATTGTGTCTGCCTTGACTGCATTGGGCACAATATTGTCCATGGGTTTTCTGGTATGTTCCCTTGTCCCTCTACACGATCTGCATAATCTTAACTGTACCTTAACATTATCGCTGCAGATTTTGCTGGTGAACATGTTCCGCAGACCGAGCATTGTATTTGTCATTCTGCTGGCCGTGAGTGCCCTGAGCATATACGTGGCCACCTCCACCGATATCGGGTTTCCCTATCGCCCCAAGACCAACGTGGAGCGAGTCAACTACTTGGTTCGTTCATTTTCCTGCCATACTCTGCTCTTTGACACGTATCTTACACTTGCGTATGAATTATAATTGCAGCAAGTGCGACGAACCTTCTACGAGTACGATGGAACAGTCAGTCGGGACGACTCTGGCTACGCGTTCTTTTTCCAGGACAGACGTGGGCCAGCTGCCTTAGAGGGGTCCAATGTGGATCTAACGGGTTTGGTGAGCCTCGAAGCGGACTGCGACAAGTATATGATGTGCGGAGTTCCGATGTACGACCAGCACTGGGTAAAAAGCCGCACAACTATTATGTGGCTGCCGCGTGAGCAGCCCATCGAGACACCAACTCCGCCTACCCTCGAGCTTTTGAGCAAGACTGTGCTATCCGGCGGTACAACAGTGCGGTTGGAGTTTGTGGTGGCGGGTCCGAATCACTTCAGTCTGTTCATCCAGCCGTACGAAGATGTGACCATCAGCAACTGGACGTTCCTGGCAAGCTACCTGCAGAACACCACTACGTATCCTCCGCCGTATCACATTTACTTCTCCTACGGAATAGACAGCTCACCGTTGAAATTCTTCATTGATTTTATGGTAGGAAAATTCCCCAATTCCGAACTGTTGACTGCTGCAGTACTATATATTTATTATTCATTTGTCTTTCACACAGAAACCCGATGGCGACTTCAACGTTCAGTTCTGCAAAATTGGTCTTGGGGGACAGTTTATAGAGGATGTTGGAGATGCTGAGAGCGTGAGATTCGCTAATTCATTCCCCTCGTATTCGGCTATTGTCCAGTGGCCTGCTTCGTATCAGCGATATATATTTTAATATAATTATTTTGACTAAAACAGTTGAAAAATAAATAATAAATAATTCAAGCAAATCCGATTCTTTGTGTATCAGCTTCAAAAAAAGCCAGATTAATTCTTTCAAACAAAACACGGCAAAGTAAATCGCAAATACATATAATTTTACTGTAGGTATTTTTTTTCTATAGGGAATATCAAAATCAATGCCCCCAGGCGTTCCGATTAAAACATAATTGAAATACTGAATTGGATTATATTTCCAATTGTATCCAGATTGTTGTTTAGTTTGCAATGAAAAAATTAATTTTAAAAGCTACAAATGTTTATATAGATCTACAAAAAAACATAAAGTAAACAACATTTTTGGAGAGACAAGAATCGAATCGCCTGTCAAAGTAAGTTTAACAAAAACCATCCATGGAACATTGACATTGAGAGAAAAGAGGGAGAGCCACGAGCAGCCACTCACGCAGAAAGCATAATCTTTGGGTTTTGAAACTACGTAACATCCGAGTACGAGTATGTGCCAAGAGTGTCTATGAATAGAGAGATCTGAAGAGATCCAAGAGAGCGCTGAACCCCAAAAAAGCTCTTCGTTTGGGAGATTATTCTCTAAAATTCTCGATGAAATATTCTTATAAGCATCGCCATCGCCAATGACGAGGAGGCTGAGAGAATTTACGTGTCAGTTGGATTTTAAGTGCTCAATGGAGATGTGGCAAGGACTGCGTTGCCGTTTTGATTCCATCCAAAGAAAGGTGAAAGCTAATTTATTTATTGCTATCCAATGTGAATATATATATAATGCTTTTGGGGTTAATAATGTTGATTTATCAACATAAGTGTGTCTCATATTAAATTCCTTAGTGATAAACTCTATTAAATGCCTGCGATAATTTAACATGCATACATCAGTGCTGCTATTATAACATCATAAACTTATCAAAAATATGACTATTGTATGTATTCGATGTACATAGACTCGAAATTGGCAACAGTGGTTGGGTTGCGGTGGGTCTGGAACCATAAAGATATCGCATATCAAAAGAAGAAAAACCGGAGCAGCTCGAGATATCACCATTCAAGTTGTATTAGCATGTACATACACGCTTAAGTTATTGCCAAAAACTATTACCAGTTAGGGAAGAAATGGGAAGAAGAATCATTCGATAAATGTACCATAAATTAAGTTTAATGCAACTTTAAGGAACATTGAATGATGTTCCGCCATTTGGGGAACTATTCTTTCAGATTTTGGACGAGCGCGTCGAGGCGGCATCAATTAAAAATGTTCAAAAACAGCAACAGGACTCTAAAATTCCCTGGTACGTGGCCAGCGGTTTCCTTCTGTTTTGGGCGCTCCTCTTCTTTGCCGTTGTGGTGCCACTGTTCTACCGCCTGCCCACAGCCCTGACCATCGAAGATGTGCCCAAGGGTGTATTCATTGCCGAGCGAGCACAGACAAACCTTTACGAGTTTGACAAAATCGGCACCAAGGTGGTGGGCAGCGATGGCAATGAAAACCAGACTGTCAAGTTTCTGCTGAAGCAGTTGGCACTGATTGAAAAGCAGCGCCTGGACGACTACTTCGACATAGAAATCGACTTGCAGATTGCTTCTGGGGCCTATATCAAGTGGCAATTGGTCAACATGTATCAGGCGGTGCAGAATATTGTCGTTAAGCTGACACCCAGGAACTGCACCAGCGACACTTACCTCCTGGTCAACAGCCACTTTGATTCACAGCCGACCAGTCCCTCTGCTGGCGATGCAGGCCACATGGTTGTGACGATCCTTGAGGTCCTTCGAGTGATTTCTACAACCAAGCAAACGTTCAAGCATCCAATTATCTTCCTGATCAACGGTTCCGAGGAGAACTCATTGCAGGCTTCGCACGGCTTCATCTCCCAGCACAAATGGGCTCCGTTCTGCAAGTAGGCAACAAGATAAGACCATTTTGGTGTGTCATGATAATAAAACGATAAATAATATATTTTCTGCAGGGTTGTTATAAACCTGGATGCAGCTGGCAGTGGAGGCCGCGAGATTCTCTTCCAGACTGGACCCAATCACCCTTGGCTCGTAGATGTAAGCTATCTAAAATGAAGAAGTCTTCTCCTGCACAAATTTCTATCTTTTAAATATCTTCTGTTCTATTGCAGAGCTACAAGAAGAATGCTGAGCATCCATTTGCCACCACCATGGCTGAGGAAATCTTTCAAACGGGTCTCATCCCATCGGACACTGATTTCGGTATTTTCCGCACATATGGAAACCTTATTGGTACGCACACATGACACAAAACAGTTGTAACAAATCATCTACAAGAGACATCTCATATCATTTCCTCTTCTCTACTCAGGATTGGACATAGGACAGTGCTTCAATGGTTACATTTATCACACACAATACGATCGTGTGGACATTATACCCAGGGCTTCTATTCAGAACACGGGTGACAATGTTCTCGGCCTTGTGCGGGCCCTGTCCAATGCCACAGAGCTCCACGATACCACGGTAAGTGAACTGAATTAACAAAGCCTTGACACACAATAGAAGCATTTTTCTTAACAGGCAAACCCTTCAGGAAACACAATCTTCTTCGACGTCTTGGGGCTATTCCTCATCAGCTACTCGGAGAGCAATGGCATAATCTTCAACTATGCCGTGGCTGGAGCTACCATTGTCCTGATCTTTGTGTCCTTGTGGCGCACCGCAAGCGTGTCCAATGTCTCCACCGGGCACGTCGTCGGCTGGTTCATTCTGATTCTCGTACTCCAGGTCATTGCCTTGCTGCTTGGCCTGGGACTGCCCGTGGTGGTTGCGTATTTGTTCGACAAGTATGGCCTCTCCCTCACCTACTACAGCACTCCAGCACTGCTGATCGGCCTGTATGTGTGCCCGAGTCTCATCGGTCTCAGTTTGCCCTCCTTCATCTACTTGAAGCTGCAACGGGATGTGAGTAGACACCAGACAGTAGCAGCCAACTGACATGATATATATATCAATGCATCCATTTAGGACAAGGTTTCCTTTGCCAAACAACTGCAGCTGGTGCTCCACGGACACGCCACAATCCTGGCCATCCTCGGCTTTGGACTAACTCTCTATGGCCTGCGCACAGCCTACGTGGTCACGTGGACTCTCGTCTTCTACATTATTCCCCTGGCCATCAATCTTCTCACGACTCTGCACGATCGCGGCTTCGCCTGGACGGGTGTCCTGAAAGCCTTCCAAGTTATCCCGTTCCTGTACAACAGCTATCTCTTCTACACATTCGTTGTGGTGCTCACCCCCATGATGGGTCGCTTTGGCTTGTAAGTAGTGTCTGGCGCTTATTTGGGATGATTTCTCAAACTCAAGTTGAACTGCTTCTTTTTTAGGTCCACCAATCCAGACTTGATTGTTTCCGCCTTGACTGCATTGGGCACAATATTCTCGTTGGGTTTTTTGGTTTGTGATTTTGCTGCTCCACAGTCATCGATCGGTACATTTAATTCTATCTCCTCAGGTTCTGCTTGTGCATATTTCTCGGCGCTTCAGTCTAATTTTCTTCGGCCTGCTGGCTGTGACTGCCTTAACTGTATACACTGCCTCATCCACGCAAATCGGGTTCCCCTACCGTCCCAAGACCAACGTGGAGCGAGTCCCATATTTGGTTAGTGATCTGACAAATTAGCTTTATTCTTTTTATCATGTCACTCTTTAATTCTGGCTGCAGCAAGCGCGTCGCGTGTTCTATGAGTACGATGGAACAGTCAGCAAGGACGAGTCTGGATACCTGTTCAATTTCCAGGATCGTCGTGGAGCTGCTCCCCTGAAGGGAACCAAGGTGAACCTTACTGGTTTGGTCAGCATGAAATCGGACTGCGAGAAGTACATGATGTGTGGGGTTCCTCTTTACGATCACCGCTGGGTGGAGAGTCGGTTAAATGGAATGTGGCTGCCGCGTGAGCAGCCCGTTGAGACGCTTTCGGTGCCTGTTTTGGAGCTGCTAAGCAAGACTGTGCTTCCCAATAACAAAACCGTACGATTCGAGTTAAACCTGACGTGTCCTGATCACACGAGTCTCTTCATCCAGCCGTACGAAGACGTGAGCGTTAGCAACTGGTCGTTCCTGCTCAGCTACACGGCCACATACACCCCCCCGTATCATATATACTTCTCATATGGAGTAGATAATTCACCATTGAACTTCTTCATTGAGCTAACGGTAGGGAATTCGTATGAATATTGAAAGGAAACTATCTAAGCTTGTGCGTTTTCCACAGAAATCTGATGGAGACTTCGATGTACCTGTGTTCCAACTGGGAATATCGGCCCAGTATATGCACTCTGAAGGCGATCATCTGAGTAGGAAATTCGCTGCATCATTCCCTTCATTTGCGGCGATTGTTCAGTGGCCAGCTATGTACCAGAGATACATATATTAATCTGTATTATCATTACAATTTCGATATATTAAAGCTGAGGTTTATATAAAACAATATGGACATTGTGTCCTCTATGTGATGATAGTAAATGTTACTTAAGTATGTATATTCTTCTATTAAATATGGGCACATATACATATGTACACAGATGTGTGTATAGATATATAAAAGAAACCCAACCCCACTTAGCAACATATATTCTGGCATTATCATATTCATAAAGATATTCAAAGTGGAAAGTACAATGTACAATATTATATCCATTTAATCAGTGTAGTGGATGTGACTCATGTAAAAGGGGAACAGCTATTGGTGCCCTAAATCAGTTACCGATAATACATATTTATGGTTTTGGCGACATGTGTGCATATGTACTAGAAATACACGAGTTTGGTGCAAATTATAAGCACTTTTGTCGTTAGGCACAGGCATACATACATAGATTGCTGTTTATATGGGATCATTCAGGGCCCATATCTCCGAAAGCAATACGGGAAGTAATCAGAATAATCGAAACTGCTTCAAATAAAATCTATTAAAATTTTATCAGCTAATATGCATGCTTTCTTTGCTTGTTCAGATCCAAAGTCTCCATGAGTAGTTTGAAAAGTTACGAACAAATACAAACTAAATCAAAAAAATAATTAATGAAACATATTCAAAGGGTTTAAGTTTTCGAGAATCATCATTAATCGCTGTTCAGCAGATAGTTCATTGCTTAATATAGTTTTATTAATATATTTTAGATATATTTATATTTGGAATACAGATCCACTTTAGATAAATATTATTATGGTGTTATGGTAAGTTCTTTAGCCACCCTCGCATAAATGGATTTATGTCCGTATGAAGCTGTTAAAAAATATCTGAATTTCAACTATCATTGGACCGATAAATGTGCAATAAATAACCTGTTATAAAATGCCATTAAAAATTATCTTAATATTATTTCGGTTTGGATATAAGCAGCACCCTCTTTTATTTAACTTTAGTCCCATTCTGGAGAAGTTCTGAGCTGCAGTGCCAGACAATTGAAATGGGTGACACGGACAAACCTGTAAAAAGGACTCGGAATATTCTTTCCCCTTCACTAATTGCTTGTTTCTGCAGCAGGTTTCATATGAGCGTATCGAAGATGGAGTCGACTCGAAACCGCAGGAGTATAGGAAAAAACTGGAGCAAAACTCCACAGGTCCCTGGTATTTTGCCAGTAATTTCCTTCTGTTCTGGGCGCTGCTCTTCTTAGCCGTAGTGGTGCCTCTCTTGTACCGGCTGCCCGTAGCCAACACCATCGAGGATGCCTCAAAGGGAGGATTCATTGCGGAGCGCGCCTACGACAACCTTTACGAATTTGACAAAATCGGACCCAAAGTGACAGGCAGCGATGCAAATGAGAACAAAACCGTGCAATTCCTACTCAAAGAACTAGCCCTGATTCAGCAGAGTGTCCTTGATGACTACTTTGACATGGAAATTGACGTGCAAGTTACTTCCGGCTCATATCTAAAATCTGAAATAATCTACATGTATCGAGCGGTGCAGAATGTTATTGTAAAACTCAGCCCTAAGAACAGCACCAGCGACACCTACCTCCTGGTCAACAGTCACTTTGATTCGAAGCCGACCAGTCCCTCTGCTGGCGATGCGGGCCACATGGTCGTTACGATCCTTGAGGTGCTGCGAGTGATGTCCACCACTAAACAGACATTCGAGCATCCAATTGTGTTTCTTATCAACGGAGCTGAGGAGAAATCGCTGCTTGCTGCCCATGGCTTCATCTCCCACAAATGGGCTACGTTCTGCAAGTAAGCTACGGAATAATTACATTTTAGTCATGAACTGATAGTCCAATGATATATCTAACGTGTTGCAGGGTTGTTTTAAATCTGGATGCAGCTGGCAGTGGGGGACGCGAGATTCTTTTCCAGACTGGACCCAACCACCCTTGGCTCGTAGACGTAAGCAACGCGATATGGAGAAGTCTTCTCCTGCACACATATTTAGCTTTTAAATATCTTCTGTTCTATTGCAGAGCTACAAGAAGAATGCTAAGCATCCATTTGCCACCACCATGGCTGAGGAAATCTTTCAAACGGGTCTCCTACCGTCGGACACGGATTTCCGCATTTTCACTCAATATGCCGACCTCATAGGTATGCATCCATAGAACACTTGAATAGGCACTGCTCACATATGTCTTTGGATAGGTCTGGACCTGGGACAGTGCTTCAATGGTTACGTTTATCACACAAGGTACGACCGCATTGACGTCATTCCGCGCACTTCTCTTCAGAACACTGGTGACAATGTACTTGGTCTTGTCCGAGGTCTGTCCAATGCCACAGAACTGCGTAACCTAAATGTAAGCTAGCATTGCTTTCACAAAATTCTATTTTTTATCTTTATATCGTATCATTATGACTAAAACAGAAAACGTTTTATCTTTACCCAGGCATACTCAGAGGGACATGCCGTCTTCTTTGATGTCTTAGGGCTGTACTTCGTCAGCTACTCGGAGAGCAATGGCATAATCTTCAACTATGCCGTGGCTGGAGCTACCATTGTCCTGATCTTTGTGTCCTTGTGGCGCACCGCAAGCGCGTCCAATGTCTTCACCGGACACGTCGTCGGCTGGTTCATTCTGATTCTCGTACTCCAGGTCATTGCCTTGCTGCTTGGCCTGGGACTGCCCGTGGTGGTTGCGTATTTGTTCGACAAGTACGGCCTCTCCCTCACCTACTACAGCACTCCAGCACTGCTGATCGGCCTGTACGTGTGCCCGAGTCTCATCGGTCTCAGTTTGCCCTCCTTCATCTACTTGAAGCTGCAACGGGATGTGAGTAGACAACAGACAGTAGCAGCCAACTGACATTATATATATATATCAATGTATCCATTTAGGACAAGGTTTCCTTTGCCAAACAACTGCAGCTGGTGCTCCACGGACACGCCACAATCCTGGCCCTCCTCGGCTTTGGACTAACTCTCTATGGCCTGCGAACAGCCTACGTGGTCACGTGGACTCTCGTCTTCTACATTATTCCCCTGGCCATCAATCTTCTCACGACTCTGCACGATCGCGGCTTCGCCTGGACGGGTGTCCTGAAAGCCTTCCAAGTCATCCCGTTCCTGTACAACAGCTATCTCTTCTACACATTCGTTGTGGTGCTCACCCCCATGATGGGTCGCTTTGGCTTGTAAGTAGTGTCTGGCGCTTATTTGGGATGATTTCTCAAACTCAAGTTGAACTGCTTCTTTTTTAGGTCCACCAATCCAGACTTGATTGTTTCCGCCTTGACTGCATTGGGCACAATATTCTCGTTGGGTTTTTTGGTTTGTGATTTTTCTGCTCCACAGTCATCAATCGGTACATTTAAATCTGTCTCCTCAGGTTCTGCTTGTGCATATTTCTCGGCGCTCCAGTCTCATTTTCCTCGGCCTGCTGGCTGTGACTGCCTTAACTGTATACACTGCCTCATCCACGCAAATCGGGTTCCCCTACCGTCCCAAGACCAACGTGGAGCGTGTCCACTACTTGGTTAGCCTTTTATTATTTATCTGAATATATCTGAAACTAACCCCATTTTATCCTGGCTGCAGCAAGCGCGTCGCGTGTTCTACGAGTACGATGGAACAGTCAGCAAGGACGAGTCCGGATACGTGTTCGATTTCCAGGATCGTCGTGGAGCAGCTCCACTGATGGGAACCAAGGTGAACCTTACTGGTTTGGTCAGCATGAAATCGGACTGCGAGAAGTACATGATGTGTGGGGTTCCCCTCAACTACAAAAGCACTGAGAGCAGCCGCGTTAATGGAATGTGGTTGCCGCGTGAGCAGCCCATCGAGACACCATCGGTGCCTGTTTTGGAGCTGCTAAGCAAGACTGTGCTGGCGGATAACAAAACCGTACGATTCGAGTTTAATTTGACTTCTCCGGATCAGACGAGTCTCTTAATCCAGCCGTACGAAGACGTGACCGTTAGCAACTGGTCGTTCCTGCTCAGTCTGTTGGAGAGTAAAACGTCCAGTAGCAGTCCGTTCTGCATTAACATCTCGTATGGAATTGACAGCTCTCCACTAAACTTTTTCATAGAACTCACGGTAGGAAATTTCAATCAATTGTCTCATTGAAACAAGCTGTTTCTAATTGTATGTACTTTTATTTTGAAACAGAAACCCAATGGCGACTTCAAGGTACCCCTCTTCAAGATCGGCGTATCGTCGCTTTTTATACACAGCAAAGGGGACGCCTTGAGTCTGAAATTAGCAGCATCGTTCCCATCCTTTGCGGTGGCCATCCAGTTTCCGGCAATGTATCAAAGATACATTTATTAATTTATCTGAAATGCAAATTTTTAATGAACAAATAATTGTGTCCGAGAAAATTCGTTCAACTATGATGCCTTCAAACCCGATAGGCCAAATATGAAATATATACATATATACCAAAAATTATACAATACCATAAACGGTCACTCTGATAAAAGCACAGTTAATGGGGGGCGGAAATTTGAATTTGATTTGGCGCGAAGGTCTCCTTATCATGCCTGTTAACGCATTTAACGTTAACGCTACCAGTCTGCTAAAACGCACACAAAATGTACTGTTAACGCAACTGCTCCATTTTTAAATACACAAAAATAACGGAAACGAGATTGGGTTCAGCCACCTAGAAATACTCCTACATACATTTCTTTGTATTCAGACAATTTACTCGTTTCTTTGGTCTTAGTTTATTCGCGTGACGTATTCATATAAAATATGCATATTCACATACATATATACATACGAGTATGTACTCATGATGTGGCTTCTATAAACGGTACATAAATAAGTATATGCAACAGCTGTCAAAAGCAGTCAATCAGGAATCCAACAATATATCCAGACATAAATTAATTACATGTGTATATTGTTTTATGGTACATCCTGTCGAGTGGTGGCTATTCTAGGAACACACCAGGCTATCGTCGCCCTCCGCTTCGTCAGCTGCAAAAGAGAACGGAAGCAGGGAATCAATACTCACATTGTACATATCTGCACCCAGCCAGAGCATTGTCCCACTAATACACAACACGAGCCCCCTAATACCCACAAGACCCGCGTCAATCAATTGCCGTTGCGGAGTCCCACGCGATAAAGTGAGTTCTCGGCTATCACCCCGCCCGCCCGCTTATCACTTACACAAAATTTGCAGTCCGAACATCAGGGCGAAACCGGCCAGGGCGGCAATGTAGGCGCGCCAGCCGGCGTGGTTCTCGGTGAGAATCTCGCAGAAGACCACATAGAGCAGAGTTCCCGAGGCGATGCCCTGCAGTATGCCCGAGGGAACGCTGGGCTGATTCGGCTTCACATTCTGACTAATGCCAATGCCCACACCGATCCCGATGGGCGTGACAATCGAGAAGGTAATGAGATAGATAATGGCCAGAGAGCTGCGAGTGCGGGCCACCAGCAGCTCCATGCCCACGCAGAAGGCCAGCACCAGCTTGTGGGCAGCCACAGCCGCGAACATGAACCAAACCGTGCTGACGGTGCCCTCCAGTCCAATGGCCATGCCCTCGAAGAGCTCGTGCAGGGAAAGAGCTAAAATAATGCCCAGTCCGCGCATAGAGGAGCCAACGCTGTCCTTGTCGGACACCACAGGCATGTGCGAGTGATCATTATGATCTTTGGGCTGCTCCTCCTGTAGGTTCTTTGGCTCCTCTGGCCTTGAGTCCACTGCGCCTATTTTGCCAACCAGAATACTGTGGCGAAGGCTGTGTGCCCGCTCGAAGGCGCAACTTGCCATCGACTCCTTCCTGCTGAGCTTCTTCTGGTGGCGATGCACGAAGGTGTGCATCAATTCATCCAGGGCGTACATCAGAAAGAAGCCCGTGCAGAGAAGCATTTCCGGCAGGGCAAAGGGAGTGTTGGCGAGAATTCCACAGAACTGCAGCTCCTCTACCACCTCAATCACCTCCGGCAGCATGTGCAGGAATGTGGTGCAGATCAGGACTCCGCCGCCAAAGAAGAGCAGGCACCGCACCACCGTTGATGAGCGGGTTTCCTCTGGATTCTTCTTTGTCCACTCGAGGCAGCGATCCAGCATGTAGGGCAGACTGCCGCAGATCACGGTAATCACAATGAGCACCACCATGGCTACCACTTTGGCCACCATCAATCCATGTCTGTCAACGCCAACCGGCGACACGTCCCTGACACTGGCTATGCCAGACTCTTCCATCGACGCCAAACCGTTCATGTTTCCGTAGCGAAATGCGAGCATTGACTGTGGAGCAGAGTCACAGAACCCAACCACCTATATACTCCTATACACCCTATCGCATTGTCGTAAATTAGTGGCAGTGATTGAAATCTGATTACTGATTGATATGGGGAAGAGTCACCCGCAGACCCGCACCAAACCAAACATGGTACAATTTATCTTTTAGACAGGTGGCCTAACCTTTTAATCCCGCAATACCTTTGATGTTCAAAAAACAGTTGCATAAAGTATGGGAATTTGGGGATGTATTGGTTATTTTGGCTTATCTTCGATATGATTGATAGATTCTCAGCTTCAAGAGGGACATAAATTATTCTAAATATATAAACCAGATAACTACAAGTCTAACCATACCAAGGTTAAATTTTCTCAGCCATGAGAGGCTTGCCCTGAAGCCAGAGATGTGCACAGCCGCTATGGGCATACGTAGTGGCTCTTGCCCTTGGCCTCACCAACTGCAAGAAGGAGATCAATGACTGTTTAGAGATTCGCTTATATGACAAACTATTTCGTTGACTCACTTGCTATCTGGAGGCCAAACATCAGGATGAATCCCACCAATGAGGAGAGAAAGACCCGCCAGCCGGCATGGTTCTTGGCCACAATCTCAAAGAAGATCACATAGATCAGAGTGCCGCAGGCGAGGCTCTGAAGGATTCCCGAGGCCGTGCTCGGCTCATTCGCACTCGATGTCTCGCTGACTGCAATCCCAATGCCCAGGCCAATGGGCGTGACGATGGAAAAGACCAGCAGGTAAATGACAGCGATCAGCCATCGGGTGTGAGCCATCATGATCTCCATGCCAATGCAGAAGGCCAGCACAAGCTTGTGGACGGCAATGGCGCCACACATGAACCAGACCGTGTCCACGCTCATCTCCAGGCCAATGGCCATGCCGCCGAACAGTTCGTGCAGGGACAGGGCCACGATAATGCCCAGTCCACGTAGCCAGTTGGGCTCCTCCGGCTCCTGCTGCGCGACTACTAAATCCGTTTGAGGATCCTGCTCCTGACCCTGACCGTCCTGCACGACTTGCACAAGCACCTTCGCGACCTGGCGCTTTCTTAGCTGCCTTCGGCGCACCACAAAGTGCATGGTCTCCTCGATGAAGTACATCAAATAGAAGCCCGTACAGAGAAGCACCTCCGGCAGGCCGAATGGTGTGGGCACCAGCATCCTGCACTGCTGCAGAGCATTCACCAGCTCGACCACCTCCGGCAGCATGTGTATGAAGGTAGTGGCTATGAGAACACCGCCGCCAAAGTTGAGTAGGCAGAGCACAACCATAAATTCGCGGGCATTTCCCTTGGCGCGCTTCGTCCACTTGTAGAAGCGATCCAGGAAATAGGGCAGAAAGCAGAAGATCAGGGTGACCACCAGCAGAACCACAATGGCCACAATCTTGGCCACGATCAGCTGTGAGACGGCCATATCGAGTGAAGAGAACTCAACTAACTAGCGGAGTGACCATACACTCACTTTTTATAGTCGGGGGGCCCACTTGATATCTAGATAGAGATATCAGCAAATAGCCAAATACTCGTATTAAGTTCTTAGAGCTCCGACTCGGGTTGAATATCAGGTAAAGAGCTGGCGAATATTTTAGAGCTTTGCGGCTAGTAATTCTAAAGATGGATGATAATTTTGTGGGGGGTTACGTACTGAACTTTACGAAATGATATCTCCACTTTGCCAGCTAAATATCCATGTGCATATATTTTCCATTACCAGTCGGTACATTCTAGCGATGGTTCGCCTTGAGCCATCAAAGGTAGTTGCCGAGCTGAAAATTCAGTTGGCATAATTATTTTGTTTTCGCCGACAGCCAAAGCTGTTGGGTGTGTGTCTGGGAATCCAAGTGCTATCGTGAGGAGAGGGCTTCAGTGCTGCCTGATAACTTCAATAATTATTTTCAGCACTTTTCTCTGTTGCCAAAGGCCCCACATGACACCACCTCTGGTTTTTTTCTGTACTCAGTGCGGACATGCGAACATACTCGAATGTGCCTACAATTATGGTGTGTGGACAGGGAGCGGATATTAAAAGTGGCGGACGGGGGGTGTAATATCATCCAATATTTTATTAATTACATTAATTCATAACGGTTTTACTGTAAAAATTATCATTGGCATTTATTAAACAATATTATGGCATTTAAATTTAATTTAAAGTAATTACTATGACTTGAGTGTTTTCTTTTTTATTTGATTCTCCTTTAAGTGCACAAATGAATTTCGAAGACAAATGATTTTACGGATGATATGCATATGATTGTGGATATATTGATATATCGATGTATATCAGAGCTCAACAAAGTTGTTCTCAAACTGTCTCAAAAGATATTGGAAAATATCCAACGCATCGTCTTTATTTGGGGTCCAGTCCAGTCCTGGCCCAGGCACAGCAGTCGTTTGTATCGGCGTCTAATTTAGACCATCGGATGATAGATCGATATACATATACATGTGTGTGTGTGTGTGTTTGTGTGTGATTGCAATAGTGGTGGTGGTGGTGTTGATATTCGATGTTCATTTCAGGTTTGATTCGCTCTCGTCACGAAGCCCCTCCTTGATAGTAGATCGTAGAACATATTTCAGTACTTGCTCCCGATTTCCCCCAGTGCTCTCAGCCAATCCGCTCACGACTGCTTAGGATGCTGAACGGGTGGCGGTGGTGCTGGCTTAAAGCACTGCAGAAGGAAGGCCGTGTACATGACAAAGGCCAGCGCCAGGGCAATCAGCGCATACATAAAAATGTTCAGCTCGGGCTGGCGGAATCGATTCTTGCGCAGCCACTCCAGCACCTCATCCTCGGATAGTAGATCACCTGATAGAAGGCAGGCTCTCAATTGGAGTTCTCTGATTCATCCTAAACTCAAGGTCACTCACCTCTATAGATGCTGGGGAAGCGGCGACGGAAGTAGACCATAGCTGGCAGTTTTGTGACGCCCCATTTCTTGGCATAGCGCGAGTCGGCCATTTTCACAAACGTAATATCCAGATTATCCGTCTCGCTGTCGATGTTCTCAAGCTTCTCCAGCGAGGCGATGCTGTCCGGATGATTGTGCTCATCTAAGTGGGATATATTGAGATATTATATTGAGATCAGAGCTGTCTGCACTTTGCACTTACAAAAGAACACCGATAGGAATTCATTCTCTTCGAGCAGCTTGTCCAGCATTTTGCGGTTGACCTCCTCTATTTCGTTCTTGATTTCGAATACATCTTGAGAGGTAAGCCATGTGAGGACCTTGTCATGTTGATGCATATCCCCGTCATACAGGACGGGTACTTGTTTTCTACAATGGATACGGTTAAGGCGCATATAACGTAACGTCTTAATTGCAATGATTTCTTACCGGTAATACACCAGAGAAGGTATATTGACAATTTCGTATTTCTTGGCTGCCTCCATGCTGGCTATCTTCACAAAATCAATGCCAAACATATCGGCCTCTCCATCGATCTCCTCCAGTTCCTCCAAAATTTCCTCGCACTCAGCGCAGTCATCATCATCTGAGTGGATGGAAGACATTAGATACGAGCTCTTAGCTTACTCCGTAATTAACTTACAAAAGAAAACCACCAAGAGGGTGGACTCGGCCATCAGACGGTCCAACATGCGCTCGTTGACCTCCTCGATTTCGTCGGCCAACTCACGATTGTCGTCATCGATCAGCCACTCCAAGACCGATTGCTCATTCTGGAGGTCACCCTCGAACAGCAGAGGATTGCCATTGCTAGTAATAAGTAAATGTTGCTATCTTTATGTCATTAGTGAGAGACGCCTGCTCACCGGAAATAAACCAAGGCAGGGAAGGTTTTGATGGAATAGCGTTTGGCCAACTGCGGATCCTGGATTTTGACCATGTGTATGCCAAAGACATCGCATTCGTCATCGATTAGCTCCAACCCCTCCAATATCTGGTCGCAGATGTTGCAATTGATTTTGTCTATCGAAGAGAAAGCATTTCTTTAGACATTCTCGTAAGATGAGTGTACAATGTGCAATGTGCATTGCTCAGTGACAAGCGAAAGAAGTGGTTAGGCGATTGTGTGAGGAGAGGCAAAAAGAAAACGCCGTAAAACTAAGGTATTCGCGTCCAAACTAAATTTCAGCAAATTCGCAACCGATTCGCAACGTCTAATCATAAGTTTTTCTAATGGACGGACATTCAATTGTGAAAACAGAAACAAAATTTAGTTTGGTCGTAATACGTTGGAAGGCTGGTTTTAGTAAAGTAAAGAATATGTAGATAGATAGTTCTTGGATAGAACATAGAACAGAGCTCCTACTGATGGTTAGGCGCGGTTAGAGCTCGAATCGAACATGCGTTGGGAGTTGCGAGATTTGTATTTGTACACACGGAATACCTTGTTTTTGGATACGTTTTCTTTTACGTGATATGTAGCTTTGTACGAATTGGCTGGATGAGTGTTTTGTGGTGGTGTTGGTGGTCAGGTTGCTTTCTTTAAGACTAGAGGGTGAACAGAAACTGCGACAGAAGGCAGGTTGCTTCCCCTTGCGCTCTGGCGGTACTGAGTGAGGTTCAGGTTTCGGTTTTGTTTTTGTTTGTTTTTTGTCAAGGTAGATGCATATTTTTTTTGGATATTTGTTTGTGGATTGTGTGCGATGTTTGGTTTTGAGGACGGGCGGGTGGGAATATAACAATTCAGAGTGTGTGAGAATATGATACAGTGCTTCAAAACAGTTGATATGCAGATCAGATCAAGATGCGATCGTGGTGCTACTCACAGAAGTACACGGCCAGATATTGGGTCTCCTCCACCATAGTCTCGAGCATCTGCCGTGTGATCAGCTCGATGCGATCCTCGGTCTTCTGTGTGATCAGCCACTGCAGCACCTCCTCCTCCTCGCTGAGCTCACCTAAGACGAAAGATATTGCTTAGGATAGCTCTTACACAGATATTGAACTAGATGAGTAGTACCCTCAAAGACATTGGGTATTCCTCCCTCGAAGTAGACCAATGCCGGATACTCGTGGACGCCGTAGCCATCGGCCACAGAGAAGTCTCTGGTCTTCACGAACGTTATGCCATGCTTGTCGCAGTCATCGTCGATATTCTCCAGCTCCTCCAGGACCTTGGTGCACTGCTCACAGCCATCGGCATCTGGATGTCACCGTCGAGGGTTTGCAAATAAACACATTACTCAACAAACACTGCACATGGACGGGTACGGGTACGGGCTAGGACAACATACTATTGGCAAGCACTACACATAAACTAAAGCACAGCAGAAGTTGACGGGGTAGCATGAGAACTTGTCTTCTTACAGAGTTTTACGAGTATATAATACACAATACAAAGCAGAGTAGGATCAACAGGAACAGCACGACTAAAGACGATAGATAAAGGGTTTCAGGTATGACAGACCGAGAGAGAGATATACAGAGAGGGTTGGGCGAAAGAGAGATAGTTGGGTGGAGTTTCGAGAGTGCGGAACATTCACTGTACAAATTGGAGAGGTTGTTGTGGTGCGTGTGTTTTTGTGCGGATGGATGGCTATAGGAGGTGTTTGGTTATGTGGTTAAACATTCTTGGACTCATTCCAGTTGCACGATCTATACAGAAAGGTGCACACTACCATCTTCATGCTTGCCAGCTGATGAATCCGTTGATGCAGCCGCCGCTGCTGACCCATCTGCCCCACCAGCAGCCGCCTCGCCAGGATCTGTTTCGCTGCCAAAGGCGGCAGCCGCACTGGCAGCTCCACCCTCCTGCTGATGCTGTTCGCGTTCCTTTTTCAGTCGGGCCTTGCGAGCCGCTTTCGAGGTGCAAATGTCGCACTTTGTTTTGTTCCCTACATTTCGGTATTTGATTGGTTGGTTGGTTGGTTGTTGGTTTTTGAGCAATTATTGTGTTGTTTTTTGTTTGAGATTTCAGAGAGATCATATTCGTAAATAGAAATATAAATAAAGTCTTGATTGGTTAGATACACAGAGCGCGATAAGTGGCTTAAACTAGTTTCCAGTCTAAAATGTTAACTACAATTACACAGAGTTCGCTGCAAACTTTTTGCGCAAAAGCGTGATCATCAATCCTCCAAAGTACACACCACACGAAATGTGACAAACAGCTAGTTAATTCTATGGACGATCCACATGGACATTGACATTTAAACAATCTTTCAAATGTACTTTGTGTGAATTGATCATCACCAAACCGAATGCAGCATTGAGTACCTTACGCTTCATAGTTTAATAGAAAAGTCGCCATATCTAGGAGAGACTTTGGTGCCGTGGATGTGAACTTACAGAAGTAGACAGCTATGGAGCCAGACTCTTCGATCAAGTGAACGAGTCGATCGCCTTCGAGATCTTCAATCACATCTCCACTTGGATCCTTTTGCGTGATCAACCAAGTGAGGATCTGTTCTTCTTCATAAAGATCCCCTACACAGTGCAGATAGATAGAGCATATATTAAATGATTTTCCCAGATGAGTTTTATATGGATTAACCTACCGGCGTATATAACTGGCTCCTTCGATGTGGGCTTGAAGAATACAATGGCCGGCAGGGCGAAGACTCCAAACTCCTTGGCCATTTGCTTGTCGTCGATCTTCACAAAGTCAATGCCCGCCTTGTCCGCTTCATCATCAATGTGCTCCACCTCGGCGAGCACGCGAGGACACTGCTTGCACTCGTCGCTATCTAAAGTGCAGTTGTGGATCAACCTATGGACCTGTTCCACAACTACACGGCATAATCAGTACTCACAGAATATGACGGCCACGTAGTCCGAGTTCTTGCGAATCTTCTCAAACATCTTGCGGTTGACCTGCTCGATGTGATCGGTCATCTCCATGTTGGCCGGACTGGTCAGCCAGTCGAGTACCTCCTCTTCGTCATCGATGTCGCCGTCGTAGTTAATGTACTTGCCCTTGCGGAAGTAGGTCAGACCAGGGGGATTCCTGAATCCGTACTTCTTGGCCATCAGTTTGTCGTGCATTTTCACTATATAAATGCCATACTCGGTGGCCTCGTCGTCGATTAGTTCGATGTGTCGCAGCACGCGAGGCGAGTCGGGATCGTCTTCTTTGTCTGCAAGCACAATTCAGATTTATAGTACATGGGTTATATCAGCCAACACGGACAGATATATACAGTACAATATGGTTTAAATGTTTATCTTAGTGGTAACTTGATTTTGCTTGTGTTGTTGTTTTGGGCAGTTACAGTTTTTAGTGGGCGCGCTTAGATAGATGCTTAGATATATGCTGCCTAGATACCTTAGCCTTAGCCTTTATCTTAGCCTTTGGCTGAGCTGCTAAGTGTATACTTACAAAATACAACCGCTAAAAAGTCTTTGGTGCCTATATATTCAAGGAGTTGATCACGATTAATAAGCTCAATGCTTTGGTCGGCCTTCTGCTCGAGAATCCAGTTGAAGACCTCTTGGTTGCTTTCGAGGTTGCCTATTTGTGAAACACGAAAAAGTAATGAATGTTATTGGTATATGCTCAATTAGATATTTGTAGACATATCAGCAGTTCAGCCATTTCATGGCACATACCTGTTGGCTGCAGTTTGTCAATCAATCATGAGTTTATCTTGAATGTTATATATACAAAAAATTAATGGTTTCTTTGTCTTCCTTAACCGCCACCCCCAAGTATGATAATTCGAAATGGGCAGCTTGCCAACGTTCCCCAAACCCCACTTCCATTAGTCCATAATTTATGGCCACATTTGGTGGCCCATTTTTTTTATATGGAAATTGTTAAAAAATATACATTTTCAATTTACATAGTATATTCCCACATTTTAAAATAATTTTTAATTCCCTTTGGATCTGTTTGAAAATATTTAAATCACAGCTAATACTTTTTTCTTGTTTCCTTTGACAAAAACAACCAAAAATTGTGTGGATTTTGGGATTTTTAGATTTGCTTAAATAAGAGAACCTAAATTCATTTGATTTCGATGGCATTTTATTGTGAATTTTTACAATTGATTTGTGGAGCTTAATTTTACAAAAAATGTGCTTTCGGTTCTTATAATTTTCGATTTTCAATTTTTCAGCTTTGAAAATCCGTTTAACAAAAATACATTCGCTTGAGCTTGATCTTGATCTTTGAGGCTGCTGTTCAACATAAAAAAAGGGGTTTACAGAAGTAGGATTTAGTGACAGAGTTATAAAGTTTAGCTAACATAAAGATATATATATATATATATTCGGTATTTCGCAAATACCGATAACAAATATAACAGCGAGCGGGGAGGCATCGCATCGCTCTCAGAAGAAAACAAATGAAACTAAATGGCTGGCTACATTGCATGCGAGGCCATTGTTCAGCGAGAAGTCTTTGACTTTGTAACAGGTTACAGTAAAATTAAGTATACGCTCTGCACCACGTGCATGCTGCAACATATCTGGCTATTGTGTGTTTCGTACATAAATATCTAGCTACAAAATGTGTATATGTGTTTGTATATGGCTCTGTATGTGTGTGTGTATGCATTGTATATAGAAATGGTTTGTAGGCTCTCATCTGTACATTTTCAAGTTAAAATAGTTAACAGTTTTGTTTGCCATTGCAAATTGTAAATTGCTTCAAAAAATATTTATCCGTTTTGGTTCGTTTCATTTTATTTTATTTCATTTCGTTTGGTTTGTTTTAGTTCTAGCTTTGGCTTTAGCTTGAGCTTTTGCTTTGGCTTCTTTAAATTAGACTAGCTACATTAATATGTAAATTGTATATTGCGACAAAAAGTAGTAGTATCAAAAAGTGTACGTACGCTCTTGTTATTGACAATTGCTGATTGCTGACAAACGTTAATAACAAAGCTGACTGGCTAAATAGTATACAAGTGAAAGTTCTCAGAAGATTGATAGTTTTTTGTTGTTGCACTAATTGCATTTAGTTTGAACAAAGTTTTTGTTGTAATCCATTGACAAAATGCAACAAATGTTGGGTTTTAGTTTAGTTATAGAACTACAGAGCTGGGGCACAGCTCACGAAGATAGTTGTAGCGAAAATATCAACAAAGTTTATGTTAGTTTTGTGTGCTTTTTTTTATGTTTTTTTGTTGGTTTGGTGTTTGGTGTTTGTTCATTAGTTTATGTTTATTTTGAGTTGCGTGTGAATCTGCTATCGAAAGATCTTCTCAACGTGGAACAAAGAGTTGTGCGGACAATGATCTGATCGGATACCAAGGAGGATGTACATAAAAATGTGTAGTCTCTGCGCCCAAGCACTCGCAGGGATGGGCATAATGTTTATATACACACAGCCATGCGGATTCACAGGTTATTCAGTTACTGTCCTATGGCAGTCACACATTGATGATAGTTAAACATACATATTTAAATAGAAACCTGTCATTGAAGGTTCTTTTGATGGTTATACAGGCTTGGCTTGGTTTTGTTGGTTTGGCTTTGGTTTTGGCATTGGCATTGGTTTGGTTTGGTAGTGTTTTTGGTATCGGTTGAGAACAGTGCGTATACGTGCTACTTTGAGTATGGCATACATCATTCAATCATACAATCAACTGAACTATTCAACTGATTTAGCAACTGGGCTTTACATTCTCAGTTAAACTGCCTTACTCCCACAGAGAGATATCCTGAAAAATGAGGTCATACAAATTTTTTAGTCGATTTTGGAAAAAATTAACGCCTGCAAGACACAAAAGAGAGAGAAAAGAGAAGAGAAATAAACAAATAAAGTAACGACCAAATTGTGCGTGTGTCTGTACGTGTCTGAGTATGGGCACAACAACAACAACAATGAGAATTGCTACAGGACAATGAGCTGGCTAGAGCCACTAAGAATGATCTGGTCTGTGTCTTGGCGGGTGGGTGGTATAGGGAGGATGGGCAACAGTCTGCAATGACATCGAGGGATAGTCCGATAGTCCGAGGACTACGTACCGGTTTTAACATTCAGCTTGCCGGACTTCTTGGACGACTTCTGCTTGGACGACTTCTCCAACTCCAGGGACTCGTCGTCGTCGTTCTTGGCGACGGGCTTCTTGCCAGCCTGTGGCTTGTTGCTGCCGCCTCCCGATCGCTTGTTGGCATACGAGACCTTCACCAGGGGCTTGTCATCATCATCGCCATCATCGTCGTCGTCGTCATCCTCATCATTGTCCTGGGTAGTGCGCTTGGCCTGCTTCTTGGACGGCACTGGCTTGCTGGCCGGCTCTGGTTTCTTGGTGGGCTTGCTGGCCGCCGATGCGGCGAACTGGAAGTTGCCGCCGCCGACGCCGCCCGCTCGCTTGCCCTGATCGCCGTCACTGTGTCCGATCCGCTGGGCCGTCATTTTAGGAACTTTCGTTGACTTCTCCAATTTGGTTGGACAGCATTGGAATGGTTTGTAATCGTTGGGCACGAAATTGTTGCCGCGCTTAGCTGAATGGCCGTCATGACCCAATCCAACATAGAAACATTCGTCATCTGTGTGGGCAAACAAACAAAAACATTTTGTCAGATTGTTTAGTTTTAAGAGATTTTTTGTTGTATTTTTTTTTAATTTTTTATTTTTTTTTTTTTTTTTTGGTTCACTAACAACAGAAGGTTCATTGCGATAAATCATCATCAAAATAACAGAACGTTAAAACAAGAGTGCATCAGAGTATAGGCGGAAATAAGAACAAAAATTCGTTAACTTGCTCTCAAAATTGTTTCTTTTCTTTTTCTTCAAACCCCTCCGAAATAACCACAGAGTGCGAGAGAGAGGAGAGAGAAAGACAGAGAGACAGTGAAAGAGAGCAGTTAGTACGATTTCGATTCGATTTTCATTATTTCCAAACTTGATAATTCAAAGCTTGAAAGTTGAAAGTTTCCTTGTTCTATAGAGTATAAGAAGCGTGCTTTATGAATGGAACAGATTTTTGAATTGTTTAAAATTAATTTTCGATTTTCGTATTATTTAGATTGTACAATAGATATCACAACTAATAACTGACAAAATGCTTTTGATGCTGACTGTACAGGTATCGGATTTTCAGATATTCAGAGTTCGATTCTAGTTCATATTGATTTTCTATATCGAGTTTAGTAGCCTGGGGCTGTACATTTTTATCCACTGTATTTTTCACTTGCATGTTGCATTTTTGGTTGTTTTTGTTTTCATATAGATATTTTTGTAGGTCAAAGCGGGTTCGAGATTAATCATTATAATTAAACAAACAGAACGATTACTTAAAGTATTAAGAGAAAATAAATAAACCAAACAGAATAGTTATTAACACATTTTTTGTTCGTCTAATTTAACGTATGAATTGACTTTTCCAAAATACAAATAGACGATAGTAAGTTCCATTGTTTAAATAATTTCAAACATTGTGTCAGCTATGATTTAAAATATTTTCAATTATTCTTCAATATTTTTTTGTTGATGTACCAAAGACTTTCCAGACTTAAGAACTGGGTGTGGGTTAAAGCTTTGGTTAGGGGGGGTTTAACATTCAGAGGGCAAACATTGACGGGGTTCGAGTATTATTGGCCATGACTGTGTTCCCAATTGCTTGTGTGTGTGTGTGTCCCTCACATGAGATTGCTTTAGCACAGAAGCAATGCGCTACACAACGACTAAGATGCAGATATCTGATATCAGATATCAGGTATGAGTTTGTATATATGGGGGGAGGGCTGGTTACCTGGGCTAAATGCATTACTTTTTGACTTCCTTTCACCCAAGTCTGTAGATAGACAATGAAATTAACTGTAGTCGAAAGTTTCGAGTATGTTTGTCTGTGTGTGTGTGTGTGTGGGAGTTTGCGGAGAGGAGAGTAACAGAGGTGGCGGAGTCAACATGGGACAACTTCGGTTAGTGCATCAGTGGCAACTCACATTCAGGTATTACCTATTTCATCTATAAGCCGACCCGAGCATAGATCAGCCAGGCGATGTATCGTTCGGCCCTTTGCCGTGTGCCTATATTTTGGCTTACTTTTCACATCTTCTTCTTCGTCATCGTCATCGTTATCGTTATCGTCATTGTCTTTATCGTTATCGTCTTCGTCATCGTTATCGTTATTGTCTTTTTTCCCATCTCCATTTTCATCTTCTTCATCATTATCATCATCATCATTATCATCATCATCATCATTATCGTCATCATTATCTTCATTATCATCATTATCATCATCATTATCTTCATCATTATCATCATTTTCTTCATCATTATCTTCATCATCATCATTATCGTCATCATTATCTTCATTATCATCATTATCGTCATCATTATCTTCATTATCGTCATCGTCATTATCATCGTTTTCTTCATCATTATCATCGTTTTCTTCATCATTATCATCATCTTCTTCATCATTATCATCATCTTCTTCATCATTATCTTCATCATCATCATTATCGTCATCATTATCTTCATCATCATCATTATCGTCATCATTATCTTCATTATCGTCATCATTATCATCGTTTTCTTCATCATTATCATCGTTTTCTTCTTCATTATCCTCCCCATTTTCATTTTCGTCCTCCCCATTTGTATCCTCATTATCCTCATCATTATCGTCCTCGTCACTGTCACCATTTTCGTCACCGTCACCATTTTCGTCACCGTCATTGTCATTGTGTCGTTTGTTCTTTCGCAATCTCTGTTTTCTGCGGATCGCTAGCTGGAGACGCCTCAATCTCTCCCGCTTATCCTCATCGCTCTCTTTGGGATAGCTCAATTTAACAATCTTTTCATCACTTCCATCGTCATCGTTGCCTATATCGAAAAGTTTCATTACGTTTTGCACTCTGACATGGCAATAAACGGGTAGATGATCTTTGGATATGTCCATATTTTATGCTTGATATTTTATATTTTTTTGGGACCTAATTCAACTGATTTTGTACTGAATGTTTGGCTTATGAGCGTGAGTTAGAAAGCAGAGAACACATTTGAAACAAGAAGGCTTACTCTTTTGATTGATTAACCACTGCAGCACGCGATTTTCATTTTTGAGATTACCTAGAAGTGAATACAAATTAGATACAAAATCCTTTAGTTGTTCCAGGGTCATGTGCAGCGTGTTTGCTGTGTCTACTTACCATCATACATGATCGGGACCCCCGTCTCGTAGTACACCAAAGCTGGGAATGCGAAAATGCCAATCTCATGGGCCAGCTTAACATCGTTCGATTTGACAAACTGAATGCCATGCTTATCCGTATCATCGTCGATGTTCTCCAGCTCATCCAAGATATCCGAACACGATTCGCATTCATCATCATCTGTGGGGGGATAAATTAAATATCCAATAATCTAATATTCTTTGGCAATATTCCATTAGATAAACACTTACAGAAGAACACAGCCAAGTGCTCAACATCGTTGATCAGGACCTGTAGGGTCTTACGATCGACCGACTCAATGACATCCGCAGTAGACTCATGCAAATCAATAACCCATTCCAGAATTTCCTCTTCCTTCATCAGGTCACCTGAACAAATAGAGCGTTAGATCAATAGATAAATAGATGCTAAATAGCTAAAAATTATTCGATTCATTTACCGGTGTAAATTGTTCTAAACTTATGTCTATAAAATGCAAGTGCCGGCAGACCGGGCAAATCGTATTCCTTATCAATATCATCGTCGGATGTCTTTACAAAGTCAATGTCTTTTTCCTCGCACTCGTCATCGATGTTCTCCAATTCGTTAAGGATTTTCTGAGCCTTCTTATCGCCTTCGACATCTGTGGAAATATCAAAACAATTTCCTGTTAGTCAAAGATTTTCATGGAGAGATTTTATGTTAAATAATTCTCACAAAAGAACACGACGACGTGATCGTTTTCAGCCAAAATCTTATCCAACATTTTCACATTGACCTCCTCGATCTTGCCAGGAATCTCGAGGGTCTCATCGTCGGTGATCCAGGCCAATACTTCGTCCTCATCATCCAGATCCCCGGTGAAGTGCAGTGGGTCACGGTTTCTGAAGAACACCAAACGTGGATAGTTCTTGACATTGTATTTCTTGGCGACTCCGGTATCCTCAGTGGTAACGAAAATGATTCCAGCCTCATCCAACTCATCGTCGATGGTTTCCAGGGCGTTCAGGGTGTGGTCACAGGTCTCGCCCGGCTCGCAGGGACCCGTAAAGAAGACAACGACATATTCGTGCTCGTTGATCAGGTTGACGAGAATCTCATCGGTGACCTCCTCAATGGTGGCGGTCTTCTTCTGCACCAGCAGCCACTCCAGCACCTCATCCTCATTCATCAGATCGCCTTCATAGAGGGCGGGGATTTTGTTCTCGAAGTAGATGAGGGCGGGCAAATGGTCGAGACCGTATTCCTTGGCTTCGGCGGCATTATCGATTCGCACAATGACAATTCCCTCCTTCTCCAGCTCATCGTCAATGTTCTCCAGCTCGTTAAGGATGCGCATGTCCTGCTTATCGTCCTTGTCATCTGTGGCAAGAGAGGGAACATTTCATTATTATAGATAGGAGTGCATGATTGTGAATAACTTACAGAAGATAACCGCCAGATGCTCGGTATTCTCGACCAATTTGTCCTTCATCTCATCGGTGACTTCGGGAATCTCGGAATAGCGCTTCTGGTGCACCAACCAGCCAAGCAGCTCATCCTCTTTCATCAGATCACCCTCGTAGATGTGTGGAATTCCACGTTCAAAGAGTACAATCGAGGGTATCTCATCGATACCCCATTCTTTGGCCTCCTTGTCATCATCGATTTTGACAAAGGCAATATCATTCTGATCGCACTCATCGTCGATGTTTTCCAATTCTGCGAGGATTTTCTGTGATTTCTTTTGGTCTTTGTCGTCTGCGAAAATTATTTCAGAATGAGTTAATCGAATTAACTTAGTTTAGGTAACTAAAAAAGGAATTGAATCTACATAGAATGCATCTAACTGGAGCCTAGCTCAACTTGTAACTTGAAAACCTACAAACTACTCGTAAATTTCTTTAATGGGAAGAACTATTCGATTTCCGGTTCTTAGATTAAGTTGATTAGTTTTTGAAGCGCGCATTTGAAAATGATTACGTGGAAGCACATCGAGCAGTCGGCAGAATTGTTACAACTACATAAGATAGCAGACATCAGACACATTCCAGAGATACAACAACACAAAGTCTGTCGAATATCTACAGAATATCTACAGAGATGGTATCCCGGCACAAGGTTGGGGATGGGTGGGCCTGAAATAACTTACAGAAGAGCACAGCAACATGGGGCATTTTCTCAATGATCAAGTCCAACATTTCGTCGGTAATGTCCTCGATTTGATCGGAACTTGTTTGGTCTGTTAGCCACTTGAGGAGCTTCTCCTCGTCCTCCAGGTTGCCTTCGTAAATAGTTGGAATGCCTTTTTCAAAGTATATCAGCTTAGGAACTTTATTGATGCCATATTCAACGGCCTCCTCGGGATTGTCGATCTTCACGAAGGTAATGCCCAGGGCATCGCACTCGTCATCAATGTTCTCGAGCTCTTCGAGCACTTTCTGGGACTTCTTGTCGTTGTTGTCGTCTGCAAAACAGCTTGTGAGCAAAATGTGTGTTTTGTGTGTTGGGTGGGGTGGGGTGGTGCCTCTTGGGCTCTATATGGGTATAATTGTGAGACTATATTTACAAAACAGCACCGCAATGACGCGTCCTTCTTTGATCATTGTGTCGAGCATTTCATCGGTGACATCCTCGATCTCATCGCGTTCCAATTGGCTCAACAGCCACTTCAGTATTTGTTCCTCATCCATGAGATCGCCGTCGTAAACGTTTGGAATTTCTTTTTCAAAGTAAACAATTGCCGGTATCTGCCGATCGAAGAAGTTTTGTTGTTGTTTTGTTTATGAAACACATTCGCACGGATATGGATTAGATATCCTTTTGCACTTTGGGTTCGTACCGAATCGATTCCGTAATCGGCTGCCGCCTTGGCATCGTCAATTTTCACAAACTGTATGCCATGCTTGTCGCAGTCGTCGTCAATTTGTTCTAGCTCTTCCAACACGGTCATCGAGTCATCATTGCCATGATCATCTGCAGGATTAATAGCAGTCGGTTATCCATGCCCAATGGATGGCACAAAATAATCAATATGATCTACATACAGAAGAGCACCACCAAGTTATCAATGTTGCTGATCAGTGTCGCGAGCGTCTTGGATGTGACGTCTTCTATCACATCATCCTCGTCGCCCGTTGACTTATTCTGCACCAACCACTCCAAGACATCCTCCTCACGCTGGAGTTCACCTGCAGACCAGACACAGTTTCGATATTAACGACATGAATATCGATTTGTGCAGTGCATGGGTTTATGTTTATGTTTGTATTTTTGGGGATTTTGAACTTGAATGTGTGTGTGTGTGTGAGAGGAATGAAGAAGGTCTAGGTCTACTTGGTACCTTCGTAAATGATCGGAGTCTGGTGGCGATAGTAGACGAGTGCCGGCAGACCGCCCAAGTTGTATTCATCGGCCAGAGCCTCGTCGTGTATTTTCACGAATCCAATGCCCAGTTGGTCAGCTTCGTCGTCGATATTCTCCAGCTCCTGCAACGCCTTGGCGCACTTGCGGCATTGCTGCTTATCTGTTGTGTCGATCGATGGTTTGTTGGTTGGTTGGTTGGAAGGCATAGAATGTGGCAAACAAGAGATCATTAGGATCGGCTTGCAACGACTACGGGGCTAGGAGTCTCGGACAGGGTTGAGGGAGAACAACAAACAATTTGACTGGGGTGCACGGATTGAACATTCTCTGATTATGCTGAGTAAGTTGTAAGGTTATTACGGAGATATCACATGCAGGAAGAGCTATGGCAAGCCATTTGGATCGTGCGGATATGTTACTCAATCGCCTCACCATACACGATTCCTTTATTTACACAATTTTTGTTTATGCAGCCTCCCCTTCGCTGTGTGCAACCTGTTGCAAGATGCTTGTCTTTGTAACGGAAATCACTTCAAAAGAGGCAAAATAAAAGTAAAAGAAATGCTCTAAAAGCTCTCTCTCTCTCTCTGTCTCTCTCCTCTTTTTTTGCTGCTCTTTCTGTCTGTTTCCCCATCTTATTACGTTTCTGTTTCGATTTCTATCTTTATCAATCTGTTTGCACTTCTCCTTTAGCGAGCTTTAGCTTTGCCGCCTCATGCAGCGTATACGTAATATTGCTTTCTGTTGATTTTCCCCTGAACTTGCGAGTGAGTGGCCACACGCCTGCCACAGACAGCTACTCTCTATCTACTCTTGTGGCTTCAGTTCTGGAATAATGAATATCGGTCAAATCATGCAGCTTCTGAATTCAGAGCATCCTCACAATGTTCGAATTCAGAGTCAGTCGTCTATTTTCTATGGGTGTTTGAGTGGGTGTCGCCAAGGTGACAAGGCCAGTGCACACATTGGCCCGCACAAATGTCTCATAATTTACTACAAAGTGTATATAGAATCTCTCGAAAATTGTACATGTTTATGCGGCTCCGACTCTGGCTCTGACAGTTTTGTTTTGCGGTTCGTCTGCTCTTCTGTCTTCGCAGACATGGGCAAATGTTGCACTTAACTAAAAATAGTGCAAGTCAGTCGGGAAGGAGACTCACGTATGCACACTATGTACACATAATCGCATGTCTGTATATTTGTATATTATGTGCCATTGCATTTAGCTGCGAAAACTTAAGATCTGCTGCCCATAATCATTCCGCGCCGGCTCGCGCTCGTGTGGGGCATGTTGATGTATTGCTGTATGCAAAAGCAATTAAAACTGCTGTCTGTCTGCAGCCCCCGCCCCATTGCCCCGGCACACTGAATTGCAAGAGGGGTAGATGGTCGGGGGCTGGTGTCACGGAGGGTGGCACAACAATGGGCCACAATTTCGTGTTCTCGTCTCACCTACATGTTGTTCGCATCAACGAGTATGCAAAAACAACAACAAAATCCCTGTATGCCGTCTGCGTTTGATAAAAATACCTATAGATAGTGTAGCGGATACTACCAGATATATACATACACATGTATGTATATTTAAATATATGTACGATATGTATATCTGTTTATTTGTCTGTAAAGATCCACTCTATAGTTAGTTGTTTCAGATCCAAGCAAAAATAACAGCAGCAGAAGCAGCAGCCAGAGAAGCAAATTAAAAAGAAAGAAAAAACCATTTTCTTGGCCGACCAACTGCTTGAGTTTTCTATTTTTAACACTAAAATTGTAGGTGGCTGTGTTGGACAGAGAGGGAGCACAACAAAAATAAATAAATAAATAAGTTCTCTATACTTTGTTATTGGCCAATATATAACCACGCATGTGTGTGTGCCAAGACTCTGCGGGGCCTTAAATACGCCAATAAATTTATGTTTTCCTATACAAAGATTTCCTTCTTTTGTTCCAAAATGTTGGACAAGGCCAACCATCAGAAGGTCCATCTCCTATCCGTATTAATGTACATACATCGTTGCATTTGTATATACTATGCATGCGAAATAGCCCACGTTTATTTCCCAGAATTTAAGACAAGCAAATTATTTGATTTCAATTGAAAATCATTTTTTCAATTATTTTTTCCCCCGTTTGATTCTTCATCAAATCCACCGACGGCTTGTCCGCGGGATAGGGTGGACTGGGGCTTTGATTGGTCAGGAGAAGGGTGACGAGGGGCGGGGCTGATGGGGACACAAACATAATCTGGCGCCGAGCCCAGACATTCATTTGCAGCGTTTCTGTTGTTGTAATGTTTATTATTATACGTATACGTAATATTCGTGTCTGCCTTGGACGATAGCGAACGTGAAAATGTACAAAATTGGTTTTACTAGTTAAAACTACTAACCCTTCCCCCCAAGGAGATCAGTAAATCCATATAGATTGCGTATTAACTATGAATTTCTAGCAGAAAACTATTAAAAGGACCACCATAGCGAATGCGAATTATGGCACCTTCTTGTGGCGCTCCAAATGGCTCCAAGTTAGCAAGCAATGACACACAGGACCGGATTGACAAGTTAAATTGGTTATATAGTTAGGATAGACATATAAACATATACTATACATATTTACATTACGGTTCATGGGCATTTAGGCAGTAACTTTTCTAGTGCATTTGTGCATTACTCGAATCGGGGGAAAATTATGTTGGTGGGGGGAAATTTAAGAAAATTTGTAAATGATTTAATAAGAGGAAACAAAAGTTTCAAGGTAGAGAGTTGGCGGAAGAGGAGGACGATCGTTGGGATCGTTGAGGATGCACAACGAAAAACTTACCCATAACCCGGGGCGGGCATGTTTCATGGTCTGGACCTGCAGTCGTTCGATAAAATATATATATAAATAAATTTCGCGTATGTAATTTTGCTCAGACAGGGGAAGAAACACCGCCGGAATATAGATATTCATATGGAGAGATATAAAAGTTAAGTTAAGTTTGCCGCCATTTTTGTTCTAGGGTTAGTAACAAGTTATATATACGTTTATAGAGATAGATAGAGATAGAGACATATGCGTAAGTGGTAGTAGATATACACAACAGAATATACAGTATTGGTAGATATATGTATGCGGTCTATACCTAAGTTGTATGCTTTTTAGTCACAAGAGAGCTAAACTGTTTGTGTACGCTAAAAACTGCAACTGCTTTAAAAATAGAACATCATCAAGTCAAATTTCCACCAAAAGATATGGTCAGAAATATCAGTATATGGAAGTATTCATGTTTATATGTTTTGTATGTATGTTTATATGCAGATCAAGGTCAGGCAGACTTACAGAATAGGACGGCCACAAAGTCAGTGTCCTCGATGATCTTCTGCAATATCTTGGAATTGACCTCCTCGATGCGATCGGGCAGATCCATGGCCTCCAGCGAGGTTAGGAAATCGAGCACACCCTCCTCGTCCATGAGATCGCCATCATAGATGATGGGCTCCTTCTCCCTATTAGTTTTTCGTTTTTCGGTTAGATCTCTGGGGGTGTTTAATGGGCGTATTGGGATGGTACCTACCTGAAGTAGGTGAGGGCGGGGAAGTTCTTGATGCCATATTGTTTAGCTAGTCGTTTGTCGTTGATTTTCACAAAGTCCACACCGAAGGAGTCGGTGTCATCGTCGATTTTTTCGAGTTCCGCTAAAACCTTATCACAGGTCACACAGCTGCGCGCATCTGAAAGCATCCGAAAAGGGAATATGCGAATATGAATAATCTGGCTGCGAGACAAGATCAGATAGAGATACCGACATCAATTGACAAGCAGCAACTGTCGCGTGTGACGCCAGAAGCAGAACCACGACCACGACGACGACCACAACCAGAAACAGAAGCAGAAACAGAACCAAATGCCCCAAAGATTATTCATGCCTATATTAGATGGAGGATGCATCATCATCATCATCATCAGAGCAAAGGTACCGACAGTGGCAGTGGCAGAAGCAGAAGCATGGGCAGAAGCAGTCTGAATGAATGAAATGAAATGACAGCAGAGCCAGAGCAATTCGTTGCTATTAATTCGGGCAACAACTGCCGACAAATATGCTAAAATTGCTAAATTAATTCATAAAATTGTGGTGTAATGCAGCAGCCGCTATTAGGGAAATGAAACAGCAGCCACACACAAAGACAGTGCCCAATGTTCGCCAATGTCTCTTTAAGTGCTTTGGGTGGTTGCACGCCAGACCAGGCCGAAAAAATCTCATTACACAATCTATACGAAGCTCATACTGAATAAACAAAATATTTAGATGTGTATACTGCGCCTACGAATATATGGAGATCCATTGGATCCATTGGCAATACCTCACTGCTTGAAAAGTAATCAAACAGCACAGCCAATTCAGAGACCGATTGCCTTCTTTACGGCCACCTTAATGGGCAACCAAATATACGGAGCAGATGCAAATATTACGTATACGCAGACGAATTAATCGATTCGATTTGTAAGCGTTGCAGGAAGTCTGCTCGAATCGGATGGGATTGGATAGAACCTGTTCCGAGTGTTTTCACAATGCATTGCAATAACATGAATAGCGTTTTATATCAACAAATAATAAACACATTTGTATATAATGCGGATCTCTTCGAATTCGTTTAAAATGTTCACCTTTCTCGGATTTAATTACCACCGAACAGCCGACAGTATTCAATGAGCTGCCATTTGCGTAGATGTTCCATGATTCGGTTCGTTTGTTTGGCAAAAGCATTGGCGTTCGGTGCTTTTGAATTTTAAATCTTTTCATTGTCAACAATTATTTTTGGAATTGCCGCCAATGCTAACGAAATATACATATAAGCTATCTTCAAGGCATATACATACATATGGACATATGTATAATTAGCTTTCTATAGCGAAAGGTTTTACATTATTTTTTTGTTTATTAACTTTGACATTGAAGAATAAAGCCTGGAGGCAGAGTCTAAATTTAAGGTAATTATATGTTTTGTATTTAAGACTCTGGCAATTTGTTTATTCAAAATTTTCTATTAGTTTTACTGCCAGACAAATTACTCCAGAGAAAGCCATAGCAAGGTAATTTCTAGTCCCCAAAATAGATCCAACCTGAGTCGTACAAGTGCACGTAGATATGTAAATGTAGTTCTGGGGAGACTACTGAAAAAGGTCATGAAACCTGTCGCCAACTGGAAGGAAGTGAGAGTTTTTTTTCATTTTTTTTCGGTCAGTTTTCGTGCCAAAAGTTTGCGCCAAATGGGAAAAGCTATGGCATCAGGAAAAGCAGCAATAGCATGGGTAACAAATATATAAAAAAAAAAAAAAAAAAACGCTGAAGCGAACGCAGAAACGAAGACGGCAAAGACGACGGCAATTTCTCACAGCCAAAAGCTATTTTTCTACTCATAAACAGAACGCTGAGATAGCGCACCAACGAGAATCAGATAGAAAAAGGGGATGAAGGCACCGCAGACTGCTACTGGGAACATTGGTGGTGGAAGGGGGGACAAAAATAAAAATAAAAAATTAACCGAATGAAAATCTCAGAAATTTCGTACAACGAATTTTTCACATATTTTCAGTTGTATGTGAATGCTTCGAATTTTACTAGCGAAAATTTATATAATATGGCTGGCTTCTGTTACTATTTCGAGTGGGGGTCGCCTCGCATTAAAAGCTTGATACCCGACCGGACCGTTACTTGCTCCACATGGCACACCTACACACACGCACACGCATACATATAGATAGTCGTATATGCAGCATAGATACATATATATGATGTATAACTGATGAGTATGGAAAGTCTGATCGGGCAAAGGATCACTTACACCAGAAAACGGCAACGTAATCCTTGTCGGCCAAGAGCTTCTCCAACTGCTTGGCATTGACCTCCTCGATGACGGCCTCTGGCTCAAGCGGCACCGCCGCTGGCTGCGATCCTTTCTTGTTGTTAGCGCAATTCACATATCCGGGAAAACTCAGTGCCAGCAGAGCACACACGAGCAATGTCAGAGTCTTTAATCGGGTGAAAGTCATCTTTCGATTTCCTTCAGGTACTCAGGTTCTCAATCCTCGGTTCGGCTCTTCTTCGTTACGATTCTAAACCTTTAACTCGAACATGCGGGCGTGTGTCGATTTTGCTCTCTCCTCCTTTTTATTGGTTCTATTAATTAATAAGATTCGCTCACGTCGTTTGGTTTTTTTTTTTGTTATTAAAATTTATATTCCTTTGAGCATTAAGGCACTATTTTTAGTTGATAATGGTATTTCTTTCTTTCGCAATTTATTTTATGTATAACAATTTTTGGTACACACTGATGCATATATATTATGTTCATATATACACAGCCAGAATATATACATATATAGGGTATATATGAGAAAAATTAGATTATATATATATATTTTTCTTGCTCTTCTATTAAATGAACGTTTTCCGCGGACTGTACTCTATTGGTTTTCAGATTTTGTTCCACTCCGTGCAGAGGTCCGCTCGCAACTGAAAGTATTTTGGTGAAAATTCTGTGCCATTCAAGAGGCCTTGCCAAAGCTTTAGGGATCTTGTGTTTCGGGCTTGTGCAGCTTTTTTCCACCTTCCACATTCTTTCCCCGCAAAAATAGCTTTCGGAAAGAGCGAGGGAGCGACAAATGGGCCGCTGCATGATCGTGCGAGGAATGTGGTGAAAATTTGTGGAGAGGCGAGAGTTTTCTCGACAATTCCCTTTTGGATTGCACTTCTTTGTTTATGCATTTGGGCTCTTATGTATATAAATATATAAATATAGATGTGCTGTGCTCGGTGGTCTTGCGAAGCGTGGAATAAAAACAAATACGAATAAATATGCCCACAGGCGGGATTATTTGCATGAGATAAGAATTGGATCGTACATAAAGTGAAAGAGAGAGCTGCTTCAGGGCAGGTAATTAGAATAATATTTCCAACATTTGACTTACAGTTTAAAAGCCGGTAGTTCAAATTTAAATTTGAATTGTGGTTTTTGAATTGCCGATGGCAACAGTCGACTAACAGTCAGCTGACTGGGTATTTTTTAGTGAATTTTTGTTGATCCACACATTGTCCAGAGTGACCGTGATGTCGAAATTCAAGGTATATTTCGGCCTATTTCTGAGGGTCAGGCGGGTATATTCTATCTATAAAGTCGCGGTCACACTGCCGGGCACAAAAACAAAAACTACTAATTTTTCGGACCAAATGCAAATACAAAACGCTCTTGCAGCGGCTGCAGTGCATTCAAAATTAACATTAAATTATCCATAGTCCAAAAGTTTTAGGAACACCGTCTAGCCATTAAATTGAAAGTGTCGCAGAACCAACATAAACAGAGCCCGCGCCCCGTGTGTGTATAAAAATCGATCTGAGAATCTGTTCAACTGTAGGTAAAACGAGAAATCTATGAATTAAAGCTATATCGCTGAGGTATTCCTTCCTGCATGAAGCGTTCTTTGAATCGACGCGAATAGATATTGGCTCACCTTGAACCTAGCATTGCTGAAAGGGCCGAGCAGCCGCATACCAAACACGACCCAGTCAAACATATAGAAACACAATTTTACGCTCGTGTGTACCTGTGCGCTGCCTGTGTATGCATGTGTAGGCATAAACATCACGCCCACATAGCGTTGCCCGCCGCCAGACGACAACAGCTGTTCGGGCGTCTGAAAATGTTTACTAGCTTCCGCTTTCATGCTGCAGGGCAAACGAAATATAATATTTGAATGTCTTTCAATGTGGACGGGAACGGACCATGACAATCTATGGCGCAGTTGGTGTTGCTCAGGCCCAAGCCCCTTATCGCTGCAAGCGGGTGTGTGGTGGGCCTGCGCTGTTTGTGGCAAGGCGAAGGTGAAAGTCACCAGCTGATATCAGTTAACCGACCGAAACCCGTTATGCATAGCAGCTGTTTGATATCATTTCCATTTAATCGGACAGAAAATCCCCATCCATTGCAGCTTTGTCCACACACCACACATTAATTTGTCGCAGCAAAAGCGATACTCAAGAGTTGGCGCTGTTTCCCAGTCGTGCTCAGATTTTGTAGTGGTTGCTATTACGCCCCCTGTTCGCTGTCAGCTTTCCGCCTTTGTGCTGTTTTTGCTCACTTAATGATTGTAGGGTCTCGCGTCTTTTGTAAATTAGAAACGTAAACGTTCTCACAATTGGTTGGATATCTCAGTGCAGTGTCAGTTACGTTCCAGAAACTAAACTAATAATTGAACATTTCATTGTCGTCTTTCGTGTTGGATTGCGCAGGGTGCACGACAACTTGACGGCTTTTATGTGATTACTATGAAATTGGATGAAATTGTTGGATGGTAAGACATTGCACAATAATCTTTTATATATGTACTATTATATTCATATATTTCTGTGTATATCTAGGTACCAGAAAAAAATCGGCACCTATGACAAACAAGAATGGGAGAAGACAGTCGAGCAGCGTATTTTAGATGGCTTCAATAATGTCAACCTGAAAAACACCAAGCTCAAGACGGAACTGATTGATGTGGACCTAGTGCGAGGTGGGTTGCTCGTGCTTAATTATTAATTATTCCATTCACATGTTAATTTTTAATTAAATATTAATTTTGTGGTTTGGTCGACAGGTTCCACCTTTCCAAAGGCAAAGCCAAAACAATCGCTGCTCACTGTCATTCGTTTGGCCATTTTGCGTTACCTGCTGCTACCGCTGTATGCACAATGGTGGGTCAGGCAGACCACGCCCAATGCCTTTGGCTTCATTCTGGTGCTCTACCTCACCCAACTGATGAACTGGGCCATCTACATCCTGCATGGCAATCGCATTGTGCCACTGACCAGCGACCAGCAGCAGCGCAATGCCACTCTGTATGGCGAACCAGATGCCGATAAGCAGCAGTTGGAGGAGCACGACGACATGCTCAGCGCCCTGCTCATACCCTGCGCCCTCAGTCTGATGATTAGCCTGATACACTCGCAGATCGTGGCCACCAACAATGCGGCAACTGGTGTCGGAAATGGGGCTACCAAAAACAAACTGCGTCGCTTCTCCATTTCCAACTTTAATGAGAAGTCAGCACCAAGGGAGCCCCGACTGCGGCGCAGGAAGAAGTTTGTGCGGTGAGTAGGGGGGTCGCAGAATACATGCTCCAGAGATCAGAAGCTAATGTATTCTCCTGTAGTATACGCCAGCCAGAACCGGATTTATCTCATCCCAGTAGCAACACATCTCTACCAACGCGACGCACAGCAACCACCAGTGGCCCAGAAGTGCTTTCAAAACCACCCACACCAATCAGCAGCACTCCTGTACAAGAACCTGATCTGCCAGTCACCGCCAGCGCCACTTCACCTCCCGTTGCCATCAAGCAAATCAGCAATGAGGAGACATATCCCAGCACAACTGTCGTTACCATGCATCTCCAATCGCAGAAGACAGCTGACAGACCTACTACGCGCGCTGAACCTTTATATGATCTCAGAAGGCACGACGGAGGACCAGTGCCTGACAGTCCCAAGAAGCGCAACGTCAATTGGCATACGCCCATTCAGATCTATGCCACCTACGACCAGACAGAGCAGCCCTCGTCGAGCGAGGCCAGCAGAGAAGCCGACAAGGAGAATAGCGTGGAAACGCTGCAGCCCACAACTCACAAATCACGTCGCAGCCTGGGCGAGGATGATGGCTTTGAGAGCTTGAATGGAAAAAGTTCCAGCGGCGAGGACAACAACCACTCGCCCCTGCCCAATGCAGGAGCGGCAGCCGCAGTGGTTCCAGTGCAGGCCAGTCAGTTGCGTCTGCGTCTAAATGTGGCAAATACCAGTTCAGGCAATGTGCCAACACCACCCGAGAAGAAATCGCAATCTCGAGGAAACGAGTCAACCAGCAGTGGCGCTGACTCTGATGAATGCGATGACGCGGATATAATATCGAGTCCTGCATCGGCGTGCAATCAAGAGTGCACCACATCGGCCACCGATTGGCTGGGTGTGACCACAAACAGTGAGGACTGCAGCTATACCTCAGATATGGATCAATCGGATGCTGGATTCAAGCCTTGCAGCGACGAAGACCCTGGCGAGCTAGACATTACCCCAACAACCATTCTTAATCCCCACAACAGCATGGATCGCAGTGAGTAGATGTCCAAGTATGTTCACAATCATATATGTATCTTCTGACTCTCCTCAGTAAGCTGCACCATTTGGGACCATCGTGATGCAAAGAAAGCCCAGCTCTCTGTCCTTGAGATTGCCTCGTGCATAATTGAGCGTGTGGACTCCATGGGCGAGACGAATGACTACATTTACATAGGAGTTGTCTTCTCTTTTCTGCTCACCATGATCCCCACCTTTTGCAGGCTATGTGTGGTGAGCTTTAAATATAGGCGAATGTCTCGCAGGTTTTTTAGTTCCTCAATCTCTTGCAGATCACCCTTGGGAGCGATGCGGAAAAGGCCAGCGAAATAAGCTACATATACATACCACAGTTGCTGTGGGAAAAGTCATCGTCCTCGTTCTTTACTCTGCTGGGCTTTGCCTTTGGCGAGGCTAAATGGGAGCGTACTGTCCTGGCCCTGGGCTTCATACAGCGCCTCAGCCTGACTCTCATCTTGTTTATCATATTTGCCGTGGCGGAGCGCACGTTCAAGCAGCGTTTTCTGTATGCCAAACTGTTCTCGCATCTAACATCATCGCGTAGGGCACGCAAATCGAATCTGCCCCACTTTCGCTTGAACAAGGTGCGCAATATCAAGACCTGGTTGAGCGTAAGATCTTATTTGAAGGTGCGTACTCATGCTATTTTCCTTAACCCCTTGACTCTTGACTAGTTCTGTAAATCTCCCGTAGAAACGTGGTCCGCAGCGGTCGGTGGATATTATTGTATCGGCAGCATTTATCGTAACCTTGCTGCTGCTCGCTTTTCTCAGTGTTGAGTGGCTGAAGGACTCGGTGCATCTGCACACGCACCTGACGCTGGAGGCACTGATTTGGTCGATTACGATTGGCATCTACTTGCTGCGCTTCATGACACTGGGACAAAAAATTCAGCACAAGTATCGCAGCGTTTCGGTGCTGATCACTGAGCAAATCAATTTGTATCTGCAAATCGAACAAAAGCCAAAAAAAAAGGATGAATTAATGGTATCGAACAGCGTTCTCAAGCTAGCTGCCGATCTGTTAAAGGAACTCGAAACGCCATTCAAGATCTCTGGCCTCAGTGCCAACCCATATCTATTCACAACCATCAAGGTAGTCATATTGTCGGCACTCTCGGGCGTTCTGAGTGAAGTCTTGGGCTTCAAGTTGAAATTACACAAAATCAAAATAAAGTAAAAGTAAATTAGAGCCGCAGCTTACGGAGGGAAGGCACATGGCACATACAGAGGGCATGGCGCAAATCGATCATATTTTTGTAGTACAATTTATTTCGAAACGCTTTAAGAAAGTCTAAAATTAAATACATGTCTCCATCTAGAGTAGTTTAATGAATAAACTTAAGTAAGCCAATGTTTATGTTTGTCGTGTGATTGTTTATCAGTGTTAAAACAAGCCTCCTATGGACTACGTAAGCCAATATACACTACATATATATAGTTACCATATATACTACCTTTTAGAAGCGACCTGCACAATCACAAATCATCATGTTAACTTGTAATGTATTGTGTAATGAATCGATCGTATTAAAGTTCATAGAACTTTTAGCATAAATGTTATGCACGTTTCGTAGTTTCCCAATTACTGTCTTAGCAAATCTCAAGTTCGAATCCGCAAAACTGTCTAAGCTAAAGTAATAAATAAATAAATATTAATCCAATTGAAAAAAAAACAACCAAAAATTTTTAAATCGGCGATCGGAGCTGCCGGTGGTGGTAGGGCTGCCAACCCCTCAGAATTTCTATGATCGCTCAGCTGATGTTGTTGTTATCGTTATCACCTCACGACGCCCACGCAAAATCGATACTGACGTAACATCAACCAACCGCGTTTCTGCACCTATTTTCCTGTAGTTTTTAGTCTTCCTATTCCAATAGAAAATTGCATAAAATGCTAAAGCTAAATATATTGCTTAGGAATGCGATAGCCACAAATTTACTGCGAACCCAGACACGTTTGCTCCACGTTGGCGACGCGAATGTCTTGCCCAGCGAGGTGGACAAGCAATCTGCCGAATACAAGGTATAAATATTTTGAATATTTCAAGAATTGTTCTACAGCCTGCACTTTTGCATAGGACAATGCCACCGAAATGGGAAAGCTTGTCACGGAGCTGCGCAACCTCACCAGCCAAGTGCTAACAGGTGGCGGTCAAAAGGCCAATGATAGGCACACCTCCCGGGGCAAGCTGTTGGCCAGAGAACGCATTAATTTACTGCTGGATAAGGGTTCGCCTTTCCTGGAGCTCAGTGCTCTGGCTGGTCACGAACTGTACGGTGAGGAAGTGGTCAATTCTGGCGGAATAGTCACTGGAGTTGGCCGCGTCTGTGGGTAGGTCTTGCACTAGAATATTGCCCCTTTAAATATTAAAAACATTTATTTTAGCACTGAATGTGTTGTCGTGGCCAACGATGCCACTGTCAAGGGTGGCAGCTACTACCCCATAACTGTGAAGAAGCATCTGCGTGCCCAAGAGGTTGCCCAGGAGAATAGACTGCCGTGCATTTATCTTGTGGACTCTGGTGGTGCCAATCTGCCGCGCCAGGCCGAGGTCTTCCCCGACAAGTTGCACTTTGGACGGATATTTTACAACCAGGCAAACATGTCGGGCCAAGGCATTCCCCAAATTGCCGTTGTCATGGGCAGCTGTACGGCCGGAGGAGCCTATGTGCCCGCCATGGCGGATGAGAGCATTATTGTGAAGAAGCAGGGAACCATTTTCCTGGCTGGTCCTCCATTGGTGAAAGCTGCGACCGGAGAGGAGGTTTCCGCCGAAGATCTAGGCGGTGCGGATCTCCACTGCAAAACTTCGGGTGTCACGGACCACTATGCTGTCGACGACGAGCACGCTCTGTACTTGGCCCGCCAGATAGTGAGCAACCTGAATCTGCCAGCCACAAACTCGTACAACGGTCAGCTGCTGCACTCCAGTCAAGCGAACTTCAAGGAAGCCAACCCCAATGCTCCTGCTGCAGTCGAAGAGCCGCGCTATGATCCCCGCGAGCTGTACGGAATTGTGGGACCTAATCTTACCAAGAGCTTCGATGTGCGCGAGGTGATTGCTCGTATCGTGGACGGCAGTCGCTTTACCGAGTTCAAGAAACTTTACGGCGAGACTTTGGTCTGTGGATTTGCGAAGCTTTATGGCCAAACCGTCGGAATCGTCGGCAACAATGGTGTCCTCTTCTCGGAGAGTGCCCTCAAGGGCGCCCATTTCATTCAGCTCTGTTCACAGCGCAAGATTCCTTTGGTATTCCTGCAGAACATCACAGGTGAGATATCACTTGGCCGAGTATTCCTTTTATCCAACTAAATACTCATTTATATTGATAGGTTTTATGGTTGGGCGCGATGCCGAGGCTCATGGAATTGCCAAGAATGGAGCCAAGATGGTTACGGCTGTTGCTTGTGCCAACGTGCCCAAGTTTACAGTGATCATCGGTGGGTCGTACGGTGCTGGGAACTACGGAATGTGCGGGCGGGCCTACTCGCCGAGATTCCTTTACATGTGGCCCAATTCGCGTATCTCTGTGATGGGAGGCACACAGGCAGCTAATGTATTGGCCCAAATCACTCAAGATCAGCGCAAGCGTGCCGGCAAAGAGTTCACCGAGGAGGAGGCCCAGAAGCTGAAGGCTCCTATTGTGGAAATGTTCGAGGCGGAGGGCTCACCATACTACAGCACAGCTCGCCTGTGGGATGACGGCATCATAGACCCGGCCAATACACGCCAAGTGCTGGGCCTGAGCCTGAAGGCAGCCCTAAACAATGCTGGCCACGAGACCAAGTTTGGAGTTTTCCGCATGTAAATTTGATTTGCATGCATGTGTAATTGACACGGGAAATTTGTGCATTTATTGACATTTAATGTCCTGCCATCATATTGAAACTGTTGCATTTATTAGTGTTAAGTGAATTGTTGTTGTTTCTGTAAATGTCCATTATTTTTGAAATGAATTTAAACCAAACAAAATATTTTTAAAATAAACCCCACTATTTGCATTAGAATTTAATGGAAGGGAATCTACAGAGTACGCAATCCAATTCAAGGAAGTTTTTAATACTAGACAGTCTTGTTGAAAATTTATTCATTAATCGGATAATATTATATTTTCACAGCTAAGAGTCCTAACTATCTCGTAATAGCAAACCGAATATCAAAATCGAGTTATATGATTTTCCGACATTGGCCCATTGTCGACCCACGGGTATTTCAATTTACTCACGTATATTTTGAAACTTGTACAATTTAAGTTCAGCTGAAAGATCTCGTGGTAATTTTTTTATTTGTAAAGAGGAAGGATGGATGTACGAGAAAAATGTATAGACAGTTAAATTTCCCGCGGTTTAACTCAAGGTGTTAGCCTGTTTAAAAAGAGCGGGGTTAAGTGGGCTAAGTTCGTTTTTTTCTCGGTATATTTACAGTATATTTTGAACATAAGAAGGTATATTTCGGTATATTTTTGAGGGTCAGACGGGTATATTGGCGATCCACGCCAACACAACAAATTATTATCTATTAAAGTAAGTAGAAGAGATTAATTTTTGTAAGCAAATTCGCATAAAATATTCCCTTACCTTATAGCGAGTTCTGTCTTTCGGTTGTAAGTGAAGATAATCGATGTTTGCTGAAAAACATCGATGCTAAACATTTTTTGGCAACATCGATACTATCGATGTTACATCGTTGTTTTTTCCAGCTCTACTGTCAGCGCTAACGCTCTCAAACCTGAAAATCGGTTCGTCATACAAAGAATTTTTTGCATTTCGTGTTAAAACACAAGTCTAAATATAATTTAAGGAATCATCAAAAATTAGAGCTCTAAAGCACGTTAATAACTAAATAGGTGAGTGGAATATTTGCCGGAACCAAGTGTGGCTCTGTGTGTGGGCTTGGCTTCATCTGTGTGTATGTGTGTGCGTGCTCGTAAATGTTGCGGCTCTTTCGCCTGTTTTTTTGCACAAAAAAAAAATGAAAAATGGCAAAATCTAGAAGTAGCGTCAGCAGAAAAGAAAGTTCATCGGGAGAGTGGCGGAGTGTATGTGGCGATTTTAAAATAACTTTGCCGAAAACTTCAAGTGCACTCTTGATTCGTCCGCGTGCATAGAGAGGGGAAAATATCTGTACATTGTGGAAGAGAATCTGGTGCATCGGTGTGCGTGTGTTGTATATTTAAATGTCGCCTGCTGCTGTTCTCTGTTCCCGGCTCCCGCTCCCTGTTCCCTCCTCCGAAAATAAAAATTTTCGTGAGTTCGGCGTCCTTCCATGTGTGCGTGTGTGCCTGTTTTTGTGCTGCTGCTGCCGCCTGCTGCTGCTACTTGCAACAGCGTCAGCAGAGGCCGCAAAAAATTCCAATGCAGCAGCGGCTAATCTGCCTCGACACTTCCCCCGCCCCTCCCTTCAGTCTTCATGAAGAGGAAACCATATTTTTCTATGCTCATTCAGGTTTCAGGTGTTGATTGTATTTTCCGTTTTGGCTTCCAATTCAATGACGTCATTGCATGTGTCAACTCTAATATGGTCTATCTGTCAAGCCCCCGCAGACGTTAAGTGGCAGTGTGTGTGTGTGTGTCTGTGTGCGTGTGGGTCCAGTTACCAACGTTTCTTCGATTCTTTAAGATTGTGTTACTATTTTTATTGGATAAATTAAAACTGGCGACCCCGACGACGCCGACGCAGCTCTTTCGTTGCCACTTCTCGGTTTCCATTTGGTTTCTTCACTTACGCGCACTCACACACACACTCATATGTGTGTATGTCTTCGGGCGGTTTTTACTCGCAAGATTCGCATATTTATTTTCTGTTTTTGACACACTTCCACACTCGCTTTGTCCCGGGGGAGATTGTCTGATTTTATGAATATGAATATGGAGGATTAACGAGTATTAACGAGCATATGATAAGTTGTTTCCTTTCCCTTCCTTCCCCCATCAAAAGAGTCTTACATTTATGGCTCTCCAATTCGGCGCTTGTTCTGCCTAATTGGCGCGGAAGCAACTTCCGCTGCAGCGCCGACAGCACGCCCACACCCATCGTAGCCGCCATGGAATCGACAGCCATAACAAAGCACAATCCCCAACTTGTTGTATTTGGGGCATGGCTATTGTGGCTGCCCCCATCTGCGGCTTCTGCTGCCGCTGGGGCGCACTTAAATCAATAAACTAGGAACAAATCGCTCGCATTTGAATTGAAGTTCCGCCCTTTCGGGTCAATGCACTTTAGGCACACACACACACACTTGTATAGTAAAAAGGTAGCGTGGAAACTCTCCCCAACGCACACACACAAACTGGGAAATGAGTCGGATATTTATAGGCTGGCTCCCAAATGCCGGCTAATTCTTTATCAGCTTCGTTAGCTGTTGTGGCCCACGTTTCCATGTTGGCTTGTTGGGCAAGTTGACATTGATAATGCCAATGACGAAGACCGACAGACCGCCAGACAGGCAGCCAGTCAATCCGGAAGGCCAAGCCAGCCCATGAGTAATCTTCAACTCCAAGAAAGCAGTGACTGAGACGTCAGCATCTGCGGGACGCGTCGCGACGCAGGCAGCGAAGCGTTGACAACGCAGCTCCGTCGCCTCAGCCCCAGGCCCCAGACCGAGGCCCAGCCACAGTGCAAGTTCATTGTTCGCGCGCTCCAGTGCTGCTGCCCGCCTCTGAGCGTTCTTTTTTCCCATTTCTCCTGATTGCATTGAATGCTCTCTCGCGTAAGTTTCGAAGACTTAAAAGCACACGAGAATTATCTAGAGAGTTTAATGCCTTCTTAATCGCAAGATTTTAATAATAGAAGTTCAAATGGGGAAATCAATGTACAAAAATAAGATACGATAGACCTATGCGAAATTCAAATTATTCGCTTTGATTTAGAGCAGGAAGGAAAAGATACTCAAGAACGAGTAAGTGCGCCACTGAGACTGACGTTTATGCTCTCATAAGTTTTAAAGAATGGCAAGAGGGGACTTGAAGATTCAAGCCTTGTTGAGTTTAATCATAGGCAACTACTTAATCTCTTTCCAAACAGAGAAAACCTCATTTGCTTTTCGCATCAGAGAAGGCAAAGTTAAAATAGTCAAAATTAAATTAATAGAATTTGTGTATTATCCATTCGATTCAACTGTGAGGGAGAGAAAATTCAAGAATTAAAAATGTACGTACTTTTAAGTTTGGCTAAAATTGAGACACTAAATGATATACGAAAGTGGTTCCGGGAAATGCGATAATTGGCAAACTGATGCAGAGAAAAGAGAGCCTTTTCCAGGCAGACAATCCAATTGAACTTCAGTCTAATAAACTGGCCAAACAACTTTCATATCATCATCATTCATATGCCAAACAAGAAACACAAATTCTACAAATTCATGTGGCGGCGAGTGGTGCAACGGTAATCATTTGCTGGCTGCCACTGGCCGGGTCCGCTGGTAGATCATTATCGTGATCTTGATATTGAACACGCACATGGGCAATGCTTGAATGCATACCCAGAGCCAAAACAATTATTAGCCACCGGGTAATTAAAAGTTGTTGTTCATGTGTGTGTGGGTGGCGCCTACGCCCACACCCACACCCACACACAGTCCCCACAGGCCTTGAGGTATTAATGTGGATGGATATGTGCCTTATATGCAGAGCTCACAGACCATTAAGTAACTAATTCGAGATCTTTGTTTCATTTCAGTACCGCTCAATAAGAATTACCAACAAAACAACAACCCATTATGGCTGTTAACGTGTACTCCACAAATGTGACATCAGAGAACCTTTCGCGGCACGACATGCTCGCCTGGGTGAACGATTGCCTCCAGTCGCAGTTCTCCAAAATCGAAGAGCTCTGCACGGGTAAGTGTGCTCAATGAAGCCTAAGCTGATGAAGTCATCTGGGGAAGTACTAATTAAAAAATTATACTTATTTTTTAGGCGCCGCATACTGTCAATTCATGGACATGTTGTTCCCCAATTCAGTGCCTGTGAAGCGTGTCAAATTCCGCACCAATCTGGAGCATGAATACATACAGAACTTCAAGATACTACAGGCTGGCTTCAAAAAGATGTCCGTGGATAAGGTAGGGATCGAGACTAGCATCGATTTAGTTGCACATTTTCGTTGAGAGTTTTGATTTGATCAATGCACATCCGTACACACACGACACACGTACTACGGCACCTTCGCACTCTTCTTTGCGGAGAGGAGTGGGGACACGGACAATTGAGATTCATTTCATTGATGACAGAGTATAAGCCGCCTATAACAGAACTGACTGAACTGGCGCAATGCTGGCATGTTATGAGCGGCTTTCAGCTGTCCGAAAACAACAAATACAACACTTCTTGAATGTCGTAACTAACTGCCATTTCCGTTAAAAATCAAATCAACCTCCTCAACCCTCAAACAACAGATCATACCAGTTGATAAACTTGTGAAGGGACGATTTCAAGATAATTTCGAATTTTTACAATGGTTCAAAAAATTTTTCGATGCCAATTACGATGGACGCGAGTATGAGCCCCTGGCTCAGCGCGGCGGCGTCAATATGGGCAGCGGCAAGGGACCAGGCGGCTGCAGCAATGGAGGCAGCGGTGTGGGCAGCGTCCACAATGATTTACACATGATGCACCGCCGGGGAATTCAGGCGCCACAACCCAAACGTCTGGTGGCACCAAGCGCCCCTTCGCAAGAACCGGGTATGGACTTGTGGGACTTGAAGATTGTGTGAAGCAACGCATTTCTTTTTGTGTTGGTCGTGGACTATTTGTTTATCGTTTCCCATCCATGTAACGATGCGAGCGAACGTGAAGCACGTGGCGACCGCGAGGCGGCACCCACACGATCATTGGGATCCGCACCAAACAACCAAACCACCCGACCAACCCGCACACACCCACGCACACGCACAAGCAGTCACATCCCAGCACCAAAAATTAAAAAACACCAAACACTCGAATCCCAATCGGATGAACTGTTGTTGTCCCACATTCACTCCACTATAAACCCCTACTAAACCCCAATAATTCCCATTCCCGCTCCCACCCCCACCATACTCGTAACCTTGCGGTCGGAAAGAAGTCTCTACATTTGGCTTGCCAAAGATACATACAACATTTGTGACTGTCTCTCGGTGTATTGTCCAGGTTTTTCGTTTGTTTTGTACTACTTGTGTCCCCCGTTCCTTTATTTTGCATTGGGTTTTACTCCACCACACACTCTCTCACCGCTCTCTTTGCATATTTCTTACACATTTTATTTTTAGATAATACCCATTGACAAATTGATAAAGGGTCGCTTCCAAGATAATTTCGAGTTTTTGCAATGGTTCAAAAAATTCTTCGATGCCAATTACGATGGCAGAGACTATGATGCCAGCGGAGTGCGCGAGGGCGCGCCGATGGGCTTCGGTTCGGGTGCAGTGAAGTCCCTGCCCGGCACGGGCGGCGGCAGCAGCGGCGTGGCGAGCTCTTACAGGCGTACCCCAGCACCGACAGCAACGCGCCCGTCAACGACAGCAACAGCAAAGCCCAGTATGTTGTTTTTGGTTTGGTTTTCCCACTCTCTCTCTCTCTTTCCCTCTGTCTGTACTCTCTATCTTCGTATTTACATATATTTACATTCTAAGTTATCCTCAGCCATCACCCCACCAATGGTCAGACATTTGTACATACTTTCGTCAATGTAGATCATTCCCTTCCGCCTCATATATTCCTTATATTGTCCCGTAGTTTAACATAACTGAATGCACTTTTCCAAAGTGATTCCAAACGAAAACCCCACACATGAAACATAGAGAACGTGCTTCACGTTTGTTAAATCTGTTGATAGCAAAAAAAAAAAAAGAAATACGTTGCCTGCCCACGTCATTGTGGTTGGATTTTATGTTGTCGTTAAATATTAATATTGACTTGTGTCACCCATTTAAGCAGTCTCCAAGGTGCTGCCGCGCACGAACAGCGCAGTGTCGCATAGCAGAGTGGCTACCGCCACCAATATCACAGGGACAGTGAAGAAGAACGATGCGAACAATGCTGTCAATAATCAGCAAATCGACGAGCTGTCCAGCCAGGTAGCTACAGCCACAAAACCCCAACATTTTGCATCATATTTTACCAGCAAAACTAATGTATTTCGTATTAATTTAATTATCAGGTCATAGACATGCGTCTAAATCTGGAAGGTTTGGAGAAAGAGCGCGACTTTTATTTCTCAAAATTGCGCGATATTGAAATACTGTAAGATATTGTAGACCCGTACCCAATGAGATCTCTTCTAAGTTTCTAATCCAATCTTGCAGTTGCCAGGAGGCTGAGGAGGGGGAGACAACTCCGTTGGTGCAAAAAATATTGGACATACTCTATGCGACTGAGGTAGGAGCTCCCGCAGCACTGCTACCCAGTAAGTTTTAATGTTCTTCTTTTTGTGTGTACTTTTGCCCATCTAGGATGGTTTTGCGCCCCCAGACGATGCACCACCAGAAGATGAGGAGTATTAGGAGTTATATAAAAAGAATAAAACCAGCCCAAACACACCACATCTGCAAACTTTCTGCAAACAATTTCAAACCAGCATAAGGATAAACAAGAAGATAAAACAAAACGAAGAAGACAGACACAACAAAAACGTGTTGTATAAAACATGATAACCCACAAGTAATGGCCACATAACAAGGATACACCCCGATTGGACATCAACTAAAATTTGCAGCAACTCCCCTGAAAATTTGCAAGTTTTCCTTTATTATTTCATTAGGATTGCATGCTGCTCTCATGCTCAATTTTTAAACAAATCGTTCTAAATTGGAGCCAAACAAAAACAGTGTCTGCATTGGCTATCTAGCGTACTCGTGCACGTTCGATCATCCAGCTATTTCTTGGTCAAGTAGCATTTGTATTTTGTATTTAAATTTTTTTTGTTTTGCAGAATTAAACGGTAACTAAATTGTAATGGATTCCTCTCACATGACACAATTGTTCGAGCTGAATATTAACGTGCGTAATTGTGCATCGAAACAATTGTTTAAAGTTCTTTAGTTCAGTAGAACAAGAAAAATAAGATCCCTGTTCTGATTGTCTTCTCTTCTGTTTTACACGCTTTTCAAGAAATTCAATACATTTATAATTTTTATGCATTCTAGTTTTCTCACTTTGATTGTTTTAAGTAATTTTCTGTGAAGATCAGATCTAATGAATCGAAGTTGTACAATGTAATAGTATTTCTCTATTTTCAAAATTCTACAAAATTGGCTGCATAACATAATATAAATTTAGATATTAAGTGATATTTGCTCTCAATTCATTTAGTTCTATATTTATGTGTAGAACAAATTGAACAACAATGTTAAAAAGGAGTTCAAATAAAACACAAAACATCTTTCTAATTTCTAAAAACCCACAACACATGTTTCATTTATATTTTATTTGATTTTATAAACAAAAACTTTTTGCTAATTGCGCGACTGAAGGAGTGTTTATTATTTGGACCATTAAATGGTCCATTTTCATCAATCACACCCTCAGCTTTGGGATCGTTGTAAATATTTTGTTAAAGCTTGTAAAATCATACTACATAAATATATACATACATACAAAGACATACTCAGTCGAGAGTCGTGCATAGTGTTCGTACACCATTGAAAGGCATTTATTAATCGCGTGTATAAATAATGTTCTATTATCTAGAATAAAATCCATATGTTGCTTGATTCAAATAATGCATTTTCTCAATTAAAAATATTAGGCACACCAAGCACACACACGCAAAACTATTTAACGGCTGCCTGAATGTCCGGCTGCTTGTGAGTGCCGTCACAGAAGGGACGGTGGGAGGTCTGCTTACAGTTACAGAGCCAATAGTCTCCAGTCTTCTCCACCTTAAAGCGTATTGGCCTGGAAAGGGAAACGGTTACAGATATCCGTAAAGAAACCTTTGGCAGACTTACCTCAGTTTTATTTTAAGAAACTCATTCTTGTGCGTGCCGTCGCATATTGGCTGCGATTTGGACTTTCCACATAGGCACCAAGAGTATGTTTTGTCTGTGAGTGGGAGGGGGAGATCGGATCGGATGTTGAGTTGTGGTTATGTAAACTTTTCAAGGGATTGCTTTGCTGATGCTGTGTGGAACGAACCCTTGTCTAGGTGTATCTTGAACGGCCGCTTATCGAAGGTGACTCCATTCTCCTTCTGCAATACAGCCGTTTGTTTGTCTTCGAGCAAGTTCTTTGGAATTGTTTTGGCAGTGGCATCGCCCGGCTGAGCGCTGGAACTATAACAGACTTGCTATGGTTGTACACAGATTAGTGGTTGTGTTTTTCGCAACTAAGCAAAACTGCCTAAGTTACCTTTAGAAGCCAGGGTGTGCGAATGCTGCGTTTAAATATTATTGACATGTTTCGGCTTTTTCCTATATATTTCGCTGATTCTGGGGACTAGTGCTCTGCAACGACAGCATACAAACATATGTTTTCCCAGGGCTGGGTCGACAGGTTATCGAAAGCTCAAGACTGATCGGTGCTGCCACTCGTCACATTGGTATCACTCTCCAAGGTCGCCCCGTCCTACCATGGAACACTATGATTTTCACAATTTCTAAATCTGTTTTTGGTGATAAGAAACTGTGTCTCAGCACTTGAACAGATATGATTGTGATGCGTCTGGGAGGCAATTGCCACATTCTATTCAATACATACATCCATGTACCTGTTTGTGTACCTAACACGAGGGTTCTTTCATTTCATCTATTTTTAATTCGAATACCCAAAACTTTACTGTCATGAGATACATACCCAAGATAAGATGCCAAAGTGTACCCACCTTTATCAAGGAGGCAGCCCCATTACAAAAGCTGATTAGCTCGCCTTTCTAACAGATTCCACAGTTATAATACACAACATTTTATTTGAAAAATACTTAGGGTAGATGTCTAGAACTCGTCATTGAATGGATAGTATTTGTGGCCCGACATGCCCGAGAAGGGGACTGTTCGCTGTCCCGTCTCATATCCCTCCATGGCCTTGACATCCTCGGGACTCAGCTCGAAGTCGAAAACTTTGAAGTTCTCCTCAATCCGCGTCTTGTTGGAGGACTTGGGCAGAGGCACCACACCAATTTGAATGAGATATCGCAGGCAGATCTGGGCAGTACTGCGTCCATACTTCTTGGCCAGCCGCTGTGCCTGATCATCGTAGATGAACGCGGGCCACTGGCGTGCGGGCTGGGGACGGGCCAACGGGCAGTAGGCACAGATCACCAGGCCGTGCTGCTTGGCATGCGCACGCAGCTTCTGCTGCTGGAAGCCCGGGTGACACTCCACCTGGTTAACCACCGGCTTGATGCGGCAGTTCGCCAGAACACGCTCCGTCTGTGCGGCGTTGAAATTGGACAGGCCGATGCTGCGGGCCAGGCCCAGGTCCACCAGCTTCTCCATCTCCCGCCAGGTGTCCAGATAGTCCACATCCGTCAGCTCCAAAGTGCCGTGGACATTGCTGTCGTTGTGGAACTTCTGGCCAATGGGCAGATGCATCAAGTACATGTCGATGTACTCCAGTCCCAGGTTGTTCAAACTCAGTCTGAAGGCGCGCTCCACCAGCTCGGGATCGTGGTGGATGCCACCCAGTTTCGTGGTGACAAATATGTCCTCCCGCTTGATCACACCCGCCGCAATCTTCTCCCGGACCGCCTGGCCCACCTCCGTCTCGTTCTCGTAGACGAATGCGGTGTCGAAGTGCCGGTAGCCAATGTCAATGGCACTGCAGGTGGCCTGGTAGGCCTCCGATTCGAACGACTTCCAGGTGCCCAGGCCGAGGACGGGCATTTCCTGGCCATTGTTCAGTTTAATTTTCGGCGCGAGATTTGTCATTTTTAATTTGTGTCGATAATTGGTACGAATGAAACGTTGGTTCCTCGATTGCGACGCGACAACAGCTATTACGAGTGTGTATATTATAAATGTAGATTGTAGACGGAGCAATCTGTTCCAGCACGTTGAAGGTGTAGTGGGCAAATGGTGGCTGGCTCGCTCGGCCGGTTTCGGTAGGTTTGTCACCGCCGCGCATCGAGCAGCTGCTGTGTCACGCTGGTGACGTCACGGCCGAACACGTCGCGGTTATTCCCACAACTTGAAATGGATGAGAAAAAGCTCCGTTTCACAAAGAAAGAAGCTTTTGGCCCGCGCCTATTTGAAATTCAAATAAAGCCAGGGCTGGAAAACGTCGTTTTGTCGCTAACACATAAATCTTTATTTGAATATTAGTTAAAGTTTAAAATGTTAGACATTCAAAGATACATGCTGGTTTATTCTTAGTTGCACATTTAGGGCTTGCCTTTAAAATATTTAGCTTACTTTGCATAAATCTCACCGGGGTATATAGGTATAGGGGTACTCGTATATAGTTATTTATGTATTTATATTCTGTTTATATTGTTAAATATCTCGGTTTCCTGGTTATGCATATTTACTATATTTTTTACTTATTTGCCTGCCTCGGGGGGCTGCATCGTAAATTGTTTGTTTGGTGTTTGCTTCTTACTGTGAGCTCCATGAAGGAACCTTCTATTACACTCGTTTCTATTACGTTCTAGTCTGCTAGAGCTTTACCTCTATTGCTTATATGGTAGGTAAGTAAACTGGAGATTGTATTGCGTTAGACATGTAGACACTGATTTGAACATTAAGTTTTTGGTATTTACTTTAGCTACGGTTTGGTTGTCTGGTGTTTCATTCTTACTGTGAGCTCCATTGACAGGAGACTGGCACCACGCTATCTTCTATTACGAACTAGTCTTCTAGAGGTTTATTCTAAAGACATGTAGACACTGCTTTATTTGGTGTTTGATTCTTACTGCGAACTCTCTTTAAATTATTATTATTATTATGACTTGTGTCAAAAGAGATCTGTTCTATTTCCTATTGGAGATAGGTAAGTAAATTTCAGATTGTTTTGCGTTAGCCATATATTAGACACTGATTTGAACACTAAGGTATACATACATATGTACATATGTACGTATGTATGCATCCGTATGTAGCTTATTGATTTATTTGGTGTTTGATTCTTACTGTGAACTCTCTTTAAATTATTACGAATAACTCAAGAGAGATCTCTTCTATTTCCTATGTGAGATAGGTAAGTAAATTTCAGATTGTTTTGCGTTAGCTATATATTAGACACTGATTTGGACATCAAGGTATACATACGTATACGTATGCATCCGTATGTATGTAGCTAATTTACGGTTTGGTTGCTTGGTGTTTGATTCTTACTTTGAGCTCCATTGAGAGGAGACTTTCTTTATTACCAACTATTTAGTATCATATTTGCTATGTGGTATTGTATTGTAAATAAATTGGAGATTGTAATGCGCTAGCCATGTAGACACGATACGGATTTGAACATCAAGTTTTTTGTATTTTTTTGTTTGATTCTTACTTTGAGCTCCATTGAAAAATAACTTTCTAGCATTCACTTTGAGACTCTATGGGTCTCTACATGGTAGCCAGTACGCAGTTTCAGTTACTCTTCAAACCTTCACTCATTGTTCATGGTTGGCTTTAGCCTATAATGACAACGGAGGTATATACGTATAGCATGAATATCTCTAGATTACCCGATTTAGTTAAGTTTATGCAAAGTGCTTTAGTGATTTTCTTTGAGAGAAAAAGTTGAGTTCAGTGTTTTTTTGTTTTGTTTTGTGTTCTTAATTTTTTTGTTTGAGATTGTCAAATCGAATCACAAGTTAAAATTTTGAATTTTCCTTTTTTGCACTTAAAATAAATATATGTATATTGGTATATCGTAGGTATATAGGTATATAGTAGGTATATCAGTATTATTGAAGGTGCACAACAACAATAGCAACAATGATTGTTTATTGTTACCAAAAGTACAGATACACATCAATTCTTTTGACACAGAGGTTTTCCCTTTTGTTGATTGGAAATGTTTTTTATCACTATACAAACTAGGATCTAGAATCTAGATTTTACGGATCAATTAGGTGTATATATGTAAGTATTATCCCAGCTACAAATATCTTTAATTATATGCTAGAAGATTTTTGGGCTAACTTTTGCTGCTTTTGCTCCTCCTCCACATTGTGTAGATAAAGTAATTAAGGACTTTTAAACTCTTTTCACGTACTAAAAAAATTGGTGTTGCGTTGCATGTAAATCAATTCGAAATCTATACAAATCTTTAGTTATTAACATAATATTCCCGTTCCATTTGAATCGGCGTCACTATAGTCATATGTTCTATATATGTATGTATCTATAAAAGTTTTATTGAAAATTCGTTTGCTGTTGCTTTTGTGTTTTACTAGGGGAGAAACCACTGGATACTGCTAATGCCATGGATTATTGTTGTTTTTCGAAACACAAAAAACAGGATAAATATTATTTAATACATATACACGACATATATCGTGGTACAAGTTTTGGTTACAATATGTGTATAGGTTTTGTGGTAGGTTAAGTGTTATATCGTTGTTTGAGAGACCTTTACTTGGGAGAGGAGTTGGAGTTTTTTTTTGTTTACGGCTACTACAATTCTAGGATTAACTACGATGGCTTACCAGAAGATCGTCACGCCCATGATTAGTATCTGGCAGGTGGATTTTCAGATATCATAGGGGGAACTGTTCACATTTAAAGTATTTAATTACTTTCAATATATACAATGCGAACCGACTCTTGTGGTCTTGCACATTTAACACTTTACAACTAATTACTAAATCTAGTAAGGTCCCTCTCCAGTGTTAATTATTTTATTGCATTTTATTGCAAATGCAAATAATGGTTTTTTTTTTTGGTTTCTTCAACACAAAATAAACTCTGAATTTTGTACAAAAATAAAACAATTAAATGTTGTGTTGTGTAAATAAATATTAATAAATGTGTTGGTATTTTATTTTGCGATTCACTTTACGCTTAATAAGGCGTATGGTATAGTATGGAGAATAACTGAATGAAAACGAAAGTTCGAAAATACAAATTAAATAACTTATACACTAAGTAGCTTAAATGTTAATAACTAGCTTCAACTAGACTGTTTAAAAAGTTTTAGTTTAGGGGTTTTAAAAAAATAGATTCCATGCTCTGGTCCGGGCGCTGCCACTCTTCATTCGTATGTATGTTTATACAAAATACTTTGCGTAGGATATACATATGTGGATATAGATATAGATATAGTAGTAGAAAAGTTGGTAGGAAATTATGCAGTTTTAGTGCCGTTTGGTTTTTGATGTCGTCTCCTCTAAATGTTTAGTATCACACGCGTCCATTGTTTGTTTTGTATTCACTTATGTTTGTATGTATGTGTGTATGTATATGTAGTATGTGTGTTCTTCACACGTCCTTCGCTGGGATTCTGGATTGGTTTCCATTCCCTCCGTATGTCAAATTTTCTGTGTTTCAATTCGTTTCGTTTTGTACTAAAGCAAAAAGTTTTGCATTGTGGGGGTTGGGTTTCAGTTCATTTGAATGTTAAGATAGTCCATGATTGGGTCATAAATACTCTACTTAGCCTAGGCTAATTCGAATGCGAATGCAAGTAAAAGTTTTGCTGGGGCTGGGGCAGCTACAGCTAAGCTCGTATCTGTGCAGCTAATTGCAGATTGATTAACACTTAACACACACGCATATTGTTGGTTAGACACTTAGACACTCTACTTGGCTAATACGAGGATCTGCTACGGGGCTATATGCTATTCTATTGGCTTAGAGCTTCCTGGTGGGCTCCACCTTCTGGGACATGGCCGTCAGCACTCGCTGGTTGTCGATGACCCGAAAGCTGCTAATGTACGAGCGTACCTCGCCCTCGCTCTTGGGTGACGGCGGCTCCAGTCCTGCCACAAATTGGATAATTTTCAATACAATTACGAATCGGCCTAAGGATGGCGGACAATCAAACCTACCCAGACTCCGGGAGCGACAGAAGCGTATGGTGCGCATCGTTTGGGCCATCATGTGCATCTTCTCAAAGTTCACCAGACCGTCCAGGCTGGTCTTGTTTCCCTCGTGGGCGAAGGTCATGTCCTTCAGCAGCAGCGGCATGAACGGTATCAGGGGCGGCTGCAGCTTGCCCACAAACACGCGATACGCCCGGTGATTGCGACTGGGATCGATGAGGGCCTCGAACTCCTGAAAGATCTTCCTGAACTTTGACGGTATCTTCTCCCAGGTTTGCTGCAGCCGCGACACGGCCATGTTGGAAAGGCCCATCACCACAGCAAAGAAGGCGTTCAGATTTTGGTATTCCTTGCAACTGTGGAAGGGGGAGGAAGTAAGTAATTAAGTAAGTAAGTAAGTTCCTATCATTGGGATAGGTGGCGGGTCACTTACTAGGCGGCCAGCTTAATGAACTTGCGGACCAGACCCACGCGCTTGCTCAGGCTGGGCGTGGACACGAGCTCGGTGACAATCCAGTACTGAACCTCGTTGAAGCGACGCAGAAAGACATCCAAGTTGGCCGTGATCTGTGGGCAGGAGAACAAACAGAGAAAATTGATTAAATTTCTCAATGAAACTTTTCCTGTAAGTTTTCCTACTACACGTATAGTTTTCGGGGCTTCTTAAATTAGTTCGAGTGCGACCAACTTCTGCCCAACTCAATTAGCAAAGCAGATGACAAATGGCAACAGTTTTGTGGCCAAACTCTCGGGGAGGCTTATTACCCAAACGAGACTTTCAGACTTTTGTGGCAAATTTGCCTTCCGTACCCCCACCCCTGCACTCACCTTGCCGAAGTGATGGCGTCCAAAGGTGTGATAGAGCAATTCATATTCATGCACGGCATAGAACAGATCCCACTCGAAGAGGGTGATGTGGTATGCGAGCTCCTTGGTGCTCAGTATTTCCAAATCGATGTCCACACCCTCTGTGGGGCACTCCTGCTCCTGCAGCTGTGTCTGTAGAGGAAAGGAGCAATCAATAGTGAAAAGTCTGGACTGGCCATTGGCTGCGATGCTGGTAGTGCGACTTACCAAGGCATCCAGATGATCCTTAACGGAAACAAACAGACGTCCGTTGAGCGAGAGGCCAGTCGGTATACTGACATCGTTATCCTTGAACACGGACCGCTCCCCGTTCGACTTGACTTCGACTAGGCACAGGTCCTCTGGTCCACGATTCAGCTGCAGCTTGTCGGCGGCACAGGCCTTGATGAGCTCCGCTGTGGTGTGCATGGGGAAGCGCAGGGTGCAGTAAGTGTGGTCGGCGCAGTAGACACGGAATATGACTGCACAAAGAGCATAGATAGAGATAAAATTCATTTGCATATCTCTCCCCGTCTATCCCAAAAACACTTACTGTCATCGTCCGGCCGTATTACCGTCTTTGAGGGCGTTGCATTGCCACTGAACAGGCAAATGGGTTGGCCATTCGGCGGCAATTTCCACTTCTGTCCGGCATTCTGATTGCGATCCTCCTGGTAGCGAGCCATCTGGGTGAGCACGTTGTGCACGATGCTGGTCTCCTCATTGAGATCGGGATCGGCCTCCACCTCGGCGGCCAGATCCTCGATGAAATCACACACACTGGGCTCCTCGAAGGCCGCGTGTCGCACGGCCATCACCCACTTCTGCATGAACTGGATGACGCGCTTCTTAAAGTTGACTATATACTCACGATCCTCGGGTGTCTGGGCGTCCTCATGGGTATCGCAATGAAAGGTGCACAGCGGTTAAGGCGAGAAACCAATTTTGTTGGAGATTTCAGATTTGGAATTGGATTTGGATTTGGGGTCCTGAATCTGTCTGTCTGCCTACACCATTCAACAGTGTTCGGATTTGCCCTCCCAAGGGTTCGGCGTATGTTTATTGGTATGCGTTTCCCATGTTCCCCATTGTTCCCAATCAAATTGCTTAGTTGGGTGCCTGGAGTGGGGCCGGAGCCGGGGCCTGCTTATTAAACACATCACGTATTCCAATGCAGATTGTGGGATTAGTTTCAGGCATCATTGGTCTTGGCATTGGTCCTCTCTACCACACATCCCCCCGTCCTACGAACAAAAGCCCATCCCCATATTGAGTGCTTGCCCCGGCAAAATCATCTTCATTGCGGCTTTTGTTTCGACTGAAGTTCCACTGTTGGACTTTGCCCCGGACGGAAGGGTGTTGCTTGTTAGCATTTTGTGCCACACCAAACTCCACGTAAGCGCCCACTCCTGCACCACCAACCCGCCGGACTGGGCAGCGCTGTGTGGTCCGGATCGGGGTCATGTGTGCCTTGCGTGCTGCCAACACTTAAACTGTCGCCGTGGAACTGTTCCGTTTCCCGCCCAAGAGGAACGTGACTCTCGAGTCGTCGGACTCCTGCATCCAACAGTGAACTTTTGCCACTTTTAAAGTGCCCAGGACGGAGATGAGCTGAGCTAAGAGCGGGAGACCTTGGCTGTGGTAGAAGAGGTTTTAAAGTGGTTTGACCCCCAGTGTCCAAAACGGTGGGGCCTAAGCTATGGGACGTGGCCGGCATGGCAAAGGCTAACGCAGACTGACGAAAAGGTTGGGGAAATTCATGAGTTGTCAAGATTGTTGCTTTGGAAAAGGATATTAATTGGCCAGTTCATCAACCAGCTGCACCACGGGCATGAATACAATGTGGGTGAGCAGAAAGTCATCCAGGAAGGGATCCATGCCGCCAACGGACTGACCCAGCCGGGTCTCCAGTAGGTGCTCCAGCATCTTGGCCGGTGTGCCCGACATGACCGTATATCTGTGGGGCGGAAGCAGGAAAGCCATTAAACATAAAATTAAATTCATCTACTTGCGGGGCCTCGCCTGGCCCTGACTTTCAATTAAAATTGAGCGATCATTAAAAATTGATTAGCCACTCACTTGAATGCCGAATGCTGTCCACGTTGCTTGGCCACACGCTCCAGCACTAAAACATCCTTGCCGTGCTCCTGCAATCTCAATGTATTGGCCTCCACATCGCGCAGTATCCGGTTGAAGTGCTCCTTGTCGACGCGCAGCAAATGGCAATTGTTCTCCTTGAGCACAATGGTAGCAGCTCTGTTGGCAACAAAAACAGATATTTTATTTGCGAAAATTTCACAATTCGAAAAGGAATCCTCGGATGGCCAACAAGCGGAAAAACTTTCAGCTTGTGCAACAAAAACTTTTTAATGCATTTCACATTATCTCTATGAATTTTCATTAATTCCGAAACTACTACTATAGCACTGCTATAGCTGATGGGAAAATTGCATTAAATTTGGTTGACACTTAATCAGATGCATATGAAAATGTCAAATGGAAAATGTTCGCGCTTCGTGCGGCAGGTAGTTATTTTATTTTATTTTAATTTATTTTGGTTTTTTAACATGCGCAACGCGACCAGAAAAAGTTTTTAAAATTGCATTTCATAACAGACTCTGGCGGAATATTTGCAGACGGGATTTGCATCTGCATCTGCAGCGGTCAGACGGTCAGAAAATTCAATCAACACGCAGGATTTATCCACGAAAATCCACAGCTCCTGGCGTGTTTGTTTAATAATAATACTATTATATTTGCTAGGAATAAATGACCAGCTTAAATGAGTTTTCCCAGGGACTCAATTATTTTATGCGCTCATTAAAAAAAGTTCCACATCTCGTCTGATATTTTTACTCTAAGAATACAATACAGCTGGACTCCTCTTTGACAAACCAAAACTCTTTCCTTTGGCTGCCAAGTTTAGAGAATGGCTTACAAATTGCCCCTGGGCTTGGGCTAATATTTTGTTTCAATTTCCAATTGTTTGCTCTAAATGCCACACAATGCCTCTTGTTATCTGACGTTGTCTTGCCTGTTGCACCACCCATACGGCTTATGGTGCCCATTGTGGTGTCTCGGCCATTGTCCGCTCTGTGCCATTGTCAACCCAGAGAATACACAATGCACATGAAATGCATGAGTAGAAAAAAAACACAGACTCTGTACGAGTATAGAGAGAACTTTCAGCCGCTATCTCGAGAGTTTAAGTTGGGGATAAACTTTGGCCAACCAGGAGATTTCTTTTATAGACTGACAATGATGATTTTGACGATTATGGATGATGAGCTGTTAGGCCATGTCCGCCTTCTGGATCTTACTCTTACCTGGGTGCGTCGTTTATTAAAGCCAGTTTACCAAAATCATCGCCCGTCTTCAGGGTAGCCACAGTTCCCTTGCCGTGAATCACAACATCGACGGACCCTTTAAGAAGGATATACCAGGAGCGTCCTTCGTCGCCTTGATTGAATACTGTTGTTGTTGTTGAATAGGGTTAAACGTGTTAAGGGATAAAAGTCTTTATTAGTACTTATCATTTTTGTTTTTTGGGGGTCTAATGCGAGAGGGGATGGATGGATGGGCGTGATTGTCCGCCTTTATTGAGACATAATTAGTTGGAATTTAATTAAAAAGTTTGCCAAACTTTGCTTTTTGCCATCGAAAGTCTCTAGAGTTTTGAATGCTGTGGCTTTTGGGGGATACTCACATATTGTGCCCGCCTGGGCATGAGCCTCGAACACGAATATCGATGAGAGCTCCCGCTTGATGCTGGTGGACAGATGGGAGAGAGCGGCAATGTGGACGAGCTCCTCGAATACCAGCTCCAGTTCCTCCGATGTCCGTTCGTGGGAGCTGCGATTCAATATGATTTTATATAGCAGAATATGTGGTATGTGTGGTTTTTGTTGCACTTACGGCTTGCGCAATATCATACGCAGAGTGGCGTCCGGCCCACGTTGAAAGAGGGCACTCAATGCCTCGCGTATGTGCTCGTTGGCCGCGTGTTGATCCTCTGCCTGGGGTATGCCGACCGCAGGTGCACCGCCTTCCTCGTCCAGCCGGAATCGATACAGAAAGCACTTATCCTTGAATGGCTGCTCTTTGTTGACTGCGGCGGCATTGAATAAAATTAATATGTGAATAAGTACACATGTCTGTTAAGAGCGAAAATGGGCGTATTAACTCCGGTGGCTTACCATGTGTGAGTACGCCTTCCTCGACCAGGGCCTGCCACATGCCAGCCGCCTGGGCGCGGGTGTGCACAATTGGTGCGAGGTTGACCAGCCAATCGACAAGCTCAGTGCCGGGTGCGCACTTCCGTATTAACTTTCCCGAAACCTTAACAACAGAGTGGAAGATAAAGACATAATTAGCATCATAAAAAAGTTAGTCGTCCATTCCTCTCCTTACCTTACGATCCTTCAGACAGCTTGAGTTGTCGGCCACGAGTAATGTGCGTAGAGCCCAGCCCATGCGGCTCATAGCAGGACTCGGTGTCTGCAAAATACATCAGTAAACAATGAACTACAAGTAAACTGCCCTGAGGGATGTGCGGCTTATATTTTAATACACCCATCTGGCATACGCTTTAATTTATCAACTAAAAATCCGAGCAAAGATTCCCTTTCAACAATCGAGAGATTATAGCCAGCTCCGCCTTAGTTCGTGTTCAATTTGTCGCATTAATTAAAGACATATTAAAGTTTGTGCTGCCAAAAGATTGGAGCTTTCAGGGTAAATATCAAAGCCAGAAGGACAACAATTTTTTAGAAATCCGTTGAAAGGGACATTTTCCCATTTACAGCCTCATGAATAACACATAAATATTTTTGTAATTCCCTTGACAGTTTCTGGAGCAGCAAATTAACTCATTTGTCGTCGTCAATGTCGGAAAATTATATTTATAATATTTATGTGCCTGTGGGTGGGTGTACGAGTATATGTATGCATATATACATATATATATATATATATTCCTGCTTGTGGATGTTCTTCGCTTACCTCGGTGATGGGCAATGCTGGGTTGGGATGGTCCGGGCTGAGTGGGCGCTTGGTGGGCGATGTGGCGGCTGCCGTCTGCTGTACGCTAGGACCAAAACCTATCAAATATCCCACAGCAGTTTATTTTAATTAATGTTTGTCCAAAATGTGTGCATGGTTGCCCAATGTTTAATGTGAGTTTAATATGTTTATTCAATCATTTTTATGTGCGTATTACTATCATTGTGATTTTAATGAGATTTTCTACCGTTTACATACCGTTCTTTAATTTGCAATTGGTGAAAATGTCATTCATCAACTCTTTGTTCTTCTGCAATTAAAATAAAAAAAACAGTAAAATAAAAGTCCATTAGTCGATGCGGTGCTGTTTTCTTATTATGTTTTCTGTTTTCTGTTTTCTGTTTGTTCGCGATAATTGCAATGCCGAATTCCCATTACGTTGCTCATTTCGAATGCCGTCGACTGTGGTCGGGCCTGCTGCCCACGCTCCAGGCGACGTCGCCGCTTGATGACCGCGGAAGTGGCGCCGCCGCCAGCTGTGAGTGCCGCGGCTGTTCTCTCTGGCTCCAACACCTGTTTCTGTGAATTTTGCTGCCCATGGCTATCACTGTGACGTCGATAGTTCAAGAGAACGCACAAGGCTGCCTCATCGTTGGCCACAATCTGAGCAGACCAGCGCTGACGCTGCCGCTGTTGACCAGCTGACATGTGGAAACTTTCTTTCTGTCCAACTCTTTTCCGCTCGCAGGTAATTACTGGCAAACGCTGCTTTCTTTTGTGCACTGATAAATGAGTCTGTCAAGTGCCTAACCGGGACCCAAACCCGAGACCCACAAACCGAGACCCGCGACTCTCGCTTGTGGCGCGCTCTTTGCGAATTCTTATCACTCGCAAGGGTTGTCAGAGTGTCTCAATTCTGTTCTAAAGTATTCTGTTAGAGAAGAACAGAGGCGTTGGCAACGCCTGGCAACCCCTGGAGGGTCTCTGCCAACTGATAAGCATGAAACGCTGGCGTTGGCGTTGGCGACGCTAATTAAACACACTTCACTTATCAAACGCACAGCAGGGCCAAAATAAGCGGAACCAATTAGGCAGTGTGTGAGTGGTCGACGGGGGAGGAGGGTGGAGAGGCTTAGAAGGTCTTCGCCTTGAACAGAATTCACAAATGCATTTCGATTAAAGCTTGTTTGTTGGCTGATTTAAATGAGTAAAATAAGTCACGTCTTCAGTGTATACACACAGAGAAAAAACCCCCAGATATTGTAATATCACCTATACCTATACTAATATCAGAGACTGTTCTTATGCTGTGGAATCGAAAGAGAATTAATAATCACAAATTGGCTGAGAATTCGTTCAGAAATTAACTTTTAATTGAGACATACTGACCAGAGCTGGACGCACTGACTACTCAGCTAAATTTGTTTCTACTCTAGTCATAAGCTTGGAAAATCCTTCAGGCTTTGTCTCTGCCTCCCAGTGCTCTTCTCTGCTGTCGGTGCACATGTGCAACTTGTATTTGTGCATAAATAAATAGCCACATGGGCATGGACATGCAACTGTGTGCCATTGGGTATTCAATACAACACTACATACCAACCACACACACACCCATCTGAATGAAAAATTTATGGACTGAGGATTACGCAGACCACATGTTTGGAAATTCCATTGTTGCCGCCTGAATGCCATTTATTAGGAAAAAATGCAGCCGATATTAAATGCAAATATGTCGTAATCAAATGGCATTGAAATTCGTATTAAAAGTAGAACTCTGCAATTGAGTTATGATGCCACATTTACCGAGTGTAATATCCGCCTCTGATTACGCCACACCCCCTCTTCCGTAAGAGCGTGTTCAGTGCACACATCTGCAACATCCTCCTGCCATGCAGCTTGGAAGCCAAACTAAACCAAACCAAACCAAAACTTGTGCCAACCAAACGGAACTCGATCCAATTGCAATTGCAATTGAATTCAGTTGGACTAGCCTTCACTCGACCAGACTCGAATTGTCCAATCGCATTACGAGTGGAATTACAGCGTTGCTTGTCCCGGGATAATTGGCAGCGCACAGTCATTGAATGCTGGTCGAGCACTGCTCCTTCCTGGCCATTTTCAACTGGGAGCGATATGAGACTGTTAATTAACCCGAAATTCTATTTCTCCCATCCGCCATATGGGGTCGTGCTGACAATTGCTTTCTCTGACATTTTCAATTTGCCCTCCAGTCGGATAAACATTTGTGCACAAATCAAACACCCGACTGGGACGTGGCGGACAAGAACGCGAAATGTTATATCGAGTACATCCCGCCCCACATATATGTATATGTATGTACGCGTATACAGTTTACTTACTCCTTTTCAATTTTTCTCGACCTTCCTCTTCACGGATTTTATCGCATTTACGCAGTTCAGAGAACTGAACGCAGAGCAAGGGAATTCACCAGTTTCCAGCTATTTTTATGGCTGCTGCTGCTGGTACTACTACTGATGATGATGGTGCAGCAGTGGCAGCTTCCACTTTCACTTCATTGTTGCACACTGCGTATACGTGATATGTGGTGGCCCTGCCATGCTGTCGCAGCTACTTTGTTATCGCTTTCTGCACCCCTCCCCATCCTTACCATACCATGCCAGTAACCACTTGTGTTGCTTTTGGGTTAGCCAATGTTGGCATAATGTTGCAAAATAGTATATGCCCCAATTTGAGGTTTTCCTTCAGCTCGTTTTTCTCTCACTCCCTTCCCTCACTCTCTTGTGAGAAGTAAGGTAAATATACATTCATTCATTCTATCCGCACCCCCTCCGTCCATGTGCTCCATGTGTGTGCTCGTGTGGCTTATACCTTTTGTGCGTGCCCTAAGGGATGACTTTGGGGGCCCATCCACAGCACAGAATGGCATTGTTAGTGAGGGTTCCGAATTTACAAAGATATTTTTGCATTTTTACACTGACAAAAGTAAGCGAAAACACACAGTAAATGGCAACTCAGGGTGAAATGTAATTGAATTTTCGTTTTTTTGAGAACGAGAAAAATGCATCCATCATTTTGGCCGTATTAAACACATTTCTTACAGTGCACTTGTGTGCTTATTTTGTGTGCATATCAAACATTTACTATTTGCCAGCAGAAAGCCACGTGTGGGAAAAGGGAAACCAGACCATCCAATCACCATACCAGTAAGTAGATACAAATCCTGTGGCTTCCAATTGATATTTGCCGTTCAATTGTATACCGCAAAAGGCTGGCTAAAATATTAGATATGTATGTTGTACATAGTAGTTTCATTCCATTTAATTATCGGCTGTACTTGGGCGATTTCCCTTGGGTCCTGGCACGCATTAATGCTAACACAGCCAGGACATGCAACATTCAAAATGAAAACAAACATGAAAGATGCATTGCAATAAGCCTGTCATTACATTGTAATGCCATTTGCCGCACATAAACAGAGACAACACAGAACAAACTACTTGGCCCACAAGAGCAACTTGGCTTAATTCCCCCACCCAACTGCACCCAGTAGTACTCCTACTTCTAGCCAGAGCCAGGGCCACAGCCAAAAGCACTTAACACTGAGGGCCAAGAGTTGCCGGCATGTGTTCGGGCTTAGTTCGTGAGGTTCATTAGGAAAAAGCTGTTAGTCGGGTCGAGACCAGGCGAGCATCATTAAATGTTAATTGAAATTTTAATTAAATACTTTTGACAATGACGAAGGCATACCGCAAGTATGCCAGGACTCTGCCACATGGTGAGCGTACACATATCTGAATATCATTTGAGTCAAGCATCTATCCATCACAGATGCTCATTAAAGGGATTGGATTTGATGAGCGACTGCTCCTTTTTGATGTGGTTAGCAAGGGGTGGGGGAGGGGGGGGGGGGGAACTTCAAACTTACCTCCCAAATGAGTCGAAAATCCTGCTGCTCGACGCGCAGCAGCTCGCAGGTTGTCTTCGTTACCACGGTGCTATCGCGTGGCAAGTCGTGCAGTATGGTCTCCCCAAACGTGGCGCCCACACCCAGGTTGCACAATGTTACGGAGCTCTGTAAATAAATAAATAAAGTCAGTGGATTCGGGTTAGATGGTGCACAAGAAACAGTACTTCAATGTGATGTGGCATAAGTTTGTATCTCAGAGTGTGAACTAGTCGTATCTGTGAAGTTTAAACACTTTGTGGTGCCCTGGCGTGGTCTTTCTCTTAAGTTTCTTACACAATTAGCTGAAACGACTACAATTTCCTTGTGGCTTGTGGCTGGAATGATGGTCCCAAAAAAGCAAACATCGGAAACGAAATGCAACAGCAACAACAAGCGGATATGTCACGCCACCAACTGTCTGTCTGGCCTGTCTGCCAACCAATGCAATAACCGTGGCTTAGAGCCAAGAGCTGCCGAGTTGAGAGTTGTCTAACCGCAGCAGCATTGCAATGACATTTTCAATTACCAACTCAAGTTTGCATCTGTGCCCCTGTCCTCCAGTTGCTCTTGCTGTTTGCTGTTGTTCTTAGCTGTTTCTGCTGCTTGTTCGTCTGTTTGCTTTCCCACAAGAACACGCAAGTTCTTGGCCTGAGGGCCCTCCCAGCCTCATTTCAGGAACGAGAGCCGCCCTGCCATGTAATTGGCTTAAAACTGGGCTTACGACAGCGCTACCGCAGAATTAGTTAAACTCGCATTACCCCTACATACATACACGTATGTACATACATACATATATGTCTGCATGTGTCCACATATATTTACAGTTATTATGCCACACAAAGCAAAGCCCGTAAAATATTATTTAATTAATTCCCACTGTGTAATTACAATTGCTATTTGCCGGCGTTTATTTATTTTTTTGTGTTGTGTCCAAAAGCAGCTTGGAAATTTCATTCGCTTTTCTTGCTGATTTATTGGGGCTTTTGTTTTTTGACAAGCGTCACAAAAATACTTGGTCTCTGCCTTCTCCACGTCGCGCCTTTTTTTGGCCACATTAAATTTGATTGCTTTCTAATTTATTGCAGCATTAACAGTTGACCCACAGACACGAACACAGCCACAGAAGGAGAAAGATAGAAATGAGAGAGAGAGAGAGAGAGAGCAAAAGGGAAATGAAAAAAAGGAAAAGCAAAAATTTATCCACGAGTATTTTCCTTTTTTGTAATTTCCTTAAGCCGCCGAGAATTGAATTCAATTTCCAGTCTAAACAAAAATATTTTTCAAAGCTGTGCGCGTAGCATGGGGGATAACAAATTTTATGGTATGAGGGGGGTTGTCTGTGATATAATTTTGTAATTTATATAAATACTCGTATAAATTGATGAAGTGCAAACTGAAATATACCCCGGGTACTTTTGACAAACTCAACAGTCTGAAGTATCTTTTTGGAGTGGTAATAGTGGCAGTGGAGGGGTACTTGAGCTTGTTTTACCTGTTGCCAAAACAACAAAAGGAAAATTATCTGCATATTTGAACAGATTAACATGAAGTACCTCCAATGTGCATCATTGTTAAAGGATTGAGTGGCAAAAACTATCTAAACTTTTAACCCACTTACTAACCCTTGAATATCTCTTTTGTTTGATGAGCGATGAAGGCAGTAAGAGTCTGTATCGCATATGGCTATAAATTAGACACACTCTCAGCTAATTCCCCAACTTATATGTACCATAGGATGGTACCACTGTATTAGTAGTAATGCTACGAATATCTATAACCACGTACGTTTGCTGCAGTTGCCGCTGCTGCTGGATCTTTTACATTTATTTGGGGTATGCAATGCCATGTTTTACCTTTGCATAATGTCGCGTTGATTGCTCCACGTTATAGGTACAACTGCGACGAAACAACATGATCCCTCTGTCCTGCTGTCGCTTGATTTTAGTTTCAGTTTGTTAGTGCAACACTTTTTGCATATTCAAATTGTATTAAAATATCAGTGGAAATAACACAAGCACACACAAACAGCGTTGGACAAATGCAAATTGGATACCGGAGTGTTATGTAGCATTTTCGGTGGCTTTCTGCTCGATTTCGATGCGAATCGCAGACGTGAGGTCAACAAAGAGACTTGCCACTAGCTATGGGCACGAGGCACGCGCTGCCGAAAGTGTGGACAAACATGTCTGGGCCGTGCGAGGCATCATATGCGTCCATTGATAAATGACATGGAAGCGTGTCTCAGAGCGGGTTATATATACATTTTACTACAAAACTACGAGTGTTTTATTATTATTATTTTTTCTTTTTATTTATTTTTTTTTTTTCGTATATTTTAGCGCGTACCACTTTCAATTGGAATTCCCATTCACAAACACATCCACTGCCAGCAGATCTTTGGGTTTGGATGAACCGCGCGACGTCGCGTCACAAAGCAAACTGAAATTGAAGTTGTATGATGCCCCCGTGTGTGGCAGCCAGCTAGCGAGAAACTGTTGCATGTATGTACATAAATATGTATGTATATATGTACTACATGTCTAGTCTTTTGTGCAACTCTTGGCTAGAAGTTGCTGAAGTGTAGCCAACAGCAGCAGCACCAGCAGCAACAGCAACAAAGGCCCAGAAGACCGGCGGCTAAATGGAGCGTTCGATGCGATGACAGCTCAATGGCCCATTGCTGTCATATCTGTATGTATGCCTGTATGTATCTCAATGTACTCAATGCCCAGTGGCCAGTCCTCAATGGACGACATTCTAATTTGATCAATGGCAAAATAATCGATGGGCAAATAAACCCAGAGAAAAATCTCCAAAGTTTTAAGTTTAAATAAATTTATTGTTGCACTTCACTCTGCTTGTACCTAAAAATCGAAAATACAATTTATATATGGCTGTGTTTCCCCATTTTTCTCTGAGTGTAGATGTGATATATATGTTTGACTGAAACATTGGTTTAAAATGGCAAAATGAGATCTTGGCTCAATATTCCTGTTTTTGGTATTCTGAACGGGGTAAAGGCATCTCTACGGGCAACTCAAATTCGTGGATGTGTTGACACGTTTCTCATTCCCCATTTTAGCCGCCTTTGACGACCTTTGTTGTCGTTTGATGCATGCATTTCAGGCGGAATGCAATTAAGTTAGAGCTCAGACCATGGACCAAGACCAAGCCCACATCCACATCCACACCGATGGCGACACTGAGACCATATCGCTTGCATCCATGTACGTCACTGTAGTGATGGGTGACTGCTGGCCAAATGTCCGCTCTCCATGGAGACCTTTGTTGGGTGCTGCGCTTGGAAAACTTTTCACGCACATATGAGCACGCTTCCGTCCGTTGCAGCAGAGCTATGCTCTGGCAAATGTATGTATGCTGCAGGGGCAGTTTCGGTTGTTTCTACTGCTGCAACGTGTCTCGCATTGCAATCCACACCGGCCAATTCCGTTGGGCAAAGCAAACAAGAGTGTGGACCCAACTTTGGGGCATGGTCATACGAATGAATTGTTTTTAGGAGGATTCTGCTAATGGAATTTCGGATAAGCACCGAGAGATTTCTCCCCTGAAAACTGGCTTGCTTTAAATAACAACCAAAGTGAACCAAGGTACGCGTATTTCAATGTTCAGGTTGAATAACCTTGACACTTTTATTTTATATTTTTCATTTGTTTTGTTGGTTTTATTCGGCTGGCTTTTCTCTGTTTTTTAGCCGGACCGCAATTGTCCGCCAGTCCGGCGTCTCTTTTGGGCTAGTAATTACGAGTATTTCGCTTGGCCCTCCTACGGTGAAGGTAAGGCTCCGGACCAAGTCAATGACTGCTCACAATGAGTGGGCACACGCAGCACTGGCCGTTCATGTGGCGAGTATATGTATCCGCCAGATACAAGTACATGCCGTATCGTACCGTGAAAACATTTCCCTCAATGTTTTGAGGTGTCAAAATAAATCACTGTCGCTCAGTTCATTCCATTCGTTTGTCTAATTAATTATGTTAATTAGGTTATCATTAATTAATTTGCAATGTTTACGCTTTTTGTGTGGTTTTTGGCAGGTTAATGATTCAATGAATTACCACAAACAAAAAGAGAGTTTCCGATTCATTTGCTGACAAGTTAATGATATCCACCGTAGAGTAGAGATAATTATTTTTATAAAATTACATTTAATGCCCTCAACCGTTATAAAGACGTCGCCATTAAAGCTATGCTGACGGTTGCACTTGCACGCCTCCAGTTTTCCCAGCGGCTGCCTCATTTTCCACGCGTTGCATGTGGCGATGACATAAACATAGATAAACATTCGGCCCCACCTGCACCTGCAGCAGCATCATTAAAAAAGTTCGTACTTGCAACTTTATTAATCCAAATGAACAGGGGAAACAGGGGAACAGTTTGAGTACGCACCATGCTGACTGACCCATTAAGCGGATTTCTCTTCGCCATTTCTTTTCTGGTTTTTTTTCCTCTCCCATTTTCCTGGCAAAAAATGAGCAGAATATGTGAAAATTTTTCATTTCAATATATGCAAATGGAAAAGAACGTAAAAGAATGTTCGACCGGGTCTTTGAAGGCCTTAAAATTCCAGTCTCATCCCCGAACGGAGCTTGTCTCGTTCGTCTGCTGCTGTCAGGCAATTTGGGGCCGTCCTGCTAATGCGCCCCAAAGTATGCAAAGTGCAAAGGAAACGCTCAGGGCGAAGGAGCCGAGCCATAGAATAGTTCTGATGGCATTTCCATGCCCCCTCCCCCCATTTCTGTCAGCTACCGATTGCATGCCGAAGGAATCATTCAATCGAAATGTAAATAACAAAAGTTCCTCAAGCGGAAATAACTTTCGCAAGCAAACTGCGAGCCGAAAACGATTTCCAATGTTATTCCTAAAGATTTCCAACTTTAGCTATACACAAACAAAACTTATGTGGGTCTCAAAAAAATAAATATGATATGATAATTATTTCTTCATAGAGAAATCGAATTGTAAATCATATTGCTATAGAACTTATCAATCCCTAAAGATAACTGTCTACGAATGTAATTTGGCTAAACCATGATTTGAAGTAGCTACTAAAACAAATACTACAATGCCTTTTTTGAAGTAGTAGGGAGTTCATTTAATCGATAATAATGCAGTGAATGATAAGAAGTCTGCTTTTGTAATAGAGATAGCCCGTTTGGTTGACAAAAATACTGTATTGTTAGCGGGTCAAAGCTTTTAATACCCTTCCCAAACCTACAATCATCGAAAAATAGAATAGAATAAAATAGAATAATATCCCGTTTTTAAGTGCAAACATAGTGAAATTAAATATACTTATTTTTTTTGATTTAAGTATATGTGTACTTGAAAGTCCATTCAATATTTAATCAAAGCAAAAAACATTTTAAAATAAATATAATATATTTAACTTGTAGGAAATTTAATTTAAATATGAAATATATTTAACACCAATATATTTAATATTTCAGGGCTTTTTTCTCTTAGTGAATGGTGGATTAGGTTAGGTTAAGGACTAGGCTCTATCTCAGCTCAGATAGACCCTCTGTAAGGGTATGCAACGGTTGTCAACTTTCATTTAAAGAGGTAGACAATTGCAGAGCCGTGCCAATGTAAAACATTTTCTAGATAAGCTTGCGAGTGGAGGCTCGTAGCAAGTTTGGCCATTCAAATTATCTCATCGCCACTAGATGACGGCATTGAACCAAGCCGTTCACTCTTCAAACATTGTTGTGTTGTTGTTTCCCTTTCAAATGCTGGCTCTTTAAAGCCCAGCCAGAGTCTCTACCCCTACCCTTACCCTACCTCAATTAGCCGGCTCGTGTTGCATGCTCCAGAGCCATATTTTAATTTGGGGTTTCTCATTTAATGGTGGAGGGAGAGCAGCCCCATGAGCATGTGGCATGTGGTATGCAAAGCATGTGAGCGTCTGGGAATATTAATTAATTTACCTCAGTCAGAAGAGAAGAGAGTCATTGACTCTGACAGCACAATGGCCGGGTGAGAAACTGTTCAAGTTTGAATTACTTCGGCCCGAGTGCACTTTACGCACATGAAAATAAAGTGTGAAACGTACAATTAATTGACTATATTTATCTATCGATCATACAGCTGACAATTTCAATGGCATTTCAATACAGAAGCTCAGATCCGTTCCAGACGCAAGTAGATGCCACCGATAGAGCCCAAAGTGAACGATTTTGGTTCATATTTCAAGGGTATCTCTGTCTTGTCACAGACCGAGAACTTGAATCTGTTGAGGAGCTGGGCCATGCCGATGCGGGCCTGCATCTGGCCAAAGCGCATTCCAATGCAGTTGCGGGGTCCATCGCCGAAGGGCAACCACTCCACAGAGTCGCGGGCGGCCACTTGCTCGGCCGAGAAGCGGTCCGGATCGAAGCGGAGGGGATCGGGATAGAGGTTCTCGTCGCGGTGATAGGCGCAGGCGGGTATGATGATCTGGGTGTCCTTTTCAATCACCAACTCGGAATGACCGGGCACCACATAGTCGTTGAGAGCCTTGCGTTCCAGGTGGGGCACAATAGTGTACAATCTCAGGGTTTCTAGAGGGGTATATCAGAGGCAGTTAAAAACGTTGACTGTGGCGGCAACTGAAGAGTGGGGGAACGGGAACCAACCTGAGATTACCTGATCCAGGAAGCGCATTTCCTTGACACACTCGTACGTCAGCTTGCCATCGTTTTTGGCGAGAACAGTCTGCACTTCGCTGCGCAGCCTGTCCTGTATGTCCTGGTTTTGGGCCAGCTCGTAGAAGCTGTAGCTCATGGTCGAGGAGGAGGTCTCGAAGCCGGCCAAATAGAAGACAAACACTTGGGCGGCCAATTCACCAATGTCCATGGCCTTCATCACCTCTCCATTTTCGAGGGTGACGCTGCCCTTTTTCTTAATCTCGATCAGCATGTCCATGAAGTCGTTGCGCTTGAAGTTCTCCTTTTCCCTCACGGCCACCGTGTCGTTCACGATGCCCATGAAGAACTCATGCACGTCCTGGGGCATTATACGCATCCTCAGCTTACGGGCCAGCTTCGGGAAGCTGAAGATCAAAAGCGTGAGCAGCTGGCCATGCCTGAGCTGTGTGAACGATTTCTGTCCCATGGTGCGGAAGTCTGACACGGGCGTGCGCAATGTGTTGCACTCAATGCCAAAGGCACAGGTGCCGATCACATCGGTGGTGAATCTGGCCATCATCTCTTTGATCTCTACAATGGCCCCACCCTGGCTACTCGGCACCTGCTCCTCCATCACGGTCGCAAACTCTTCGGATACCTTGATCACAGTGGGAAACATTATCTTCATTTTGCCCGATGTGAAGGTGGGCGACAGTCGCTGACGGAGCTGCTTCCAGCGTTTGCCGTCCAGGTTGAACAAGTGCTGGGTCAGTGGATCGTCCCGCTCGTTGTGGAACTGTCCGCGATCCGAAAAGTTCGAGAAGTCCTTGATCAATATGTTCTTGGCCAGCTTCGTGTCGACGATGAAGGCTGTGGGCTTGTGCAGAAAGTAGAAGCCCACGAAGGGGCTGCTGCTGTTCCGATATTTATTGTAGTAGTCATAGAAAATTTCGTGCATCACCCGATATTTGCGGAAGCCCACAAGATTGCCATAGAAAGGGTGGGGCGCATCGTGGGGCACACCCCGGCGCTTCCAGTATTGAAAATTGTTGTACAATAAATACGCTACCAGCGAACCGACAGCGATCACCAAGTAAATTAATATCAACATTTTCTACAACTTTTTTTCCGTTTCGCGAACTGTGGCGTCCAACTATTGCCGATCTAATGAACGACACTCAGCGTGTTCAGGCGGATTTTATAGACTCCCCCAGCCAAAATAAAAACAAACACTCATACGCATATCAGCATGATATGGCAAATCCCCGACCCGTTTATAAGTCATGATTACAGCGCCAGAGATAGCACTTGCCACCGCTCTACAATGAATTCTAGAGAGCGAAGAGTGTTTCCCCAAAGAGACGCACACTCTTGGCTACTAAACAGAAACATATACCAAAATAGAATATCAACAGGCGATAACAAGTTTGTTGTTAAACAAAAATTAGTATTCTACTAATGATCGTTTCGGTTTCTAGCATTTCTGATTATAATTGTATATAAATGTCCAACAAATAACAAGTTTTCGAATTCAAAGCAAGTCGATATGCCCCCTCCAGTGTTTCAGAGTGTTGTAAAATAATAGTATTAATGCAGCATGCACATGCACCATATATAAAAGGTAGTATTTTTTTTGTGTCTCTCCCACATTTCTCTCCCACGATTTATATACAAAAGACACCGACTTTGTCTTTGGTTAACCGCGACTCCTGTAAGCCGATTAGGATGTGCATTTTGCCTTGCGTAAATCCCTTGATTCCTTCCCGTCAAGCAAAGGAAAGGGGGGACTTTAACGCGATTAGAGGGATTTGATTTTCCTTCTTGAATTCAAGTAAAAGAGGAAGGAAGGATGGAGGTGGAAGCCATATTGACCTTGTGTCGCATTTATTGATAAATTCCCTGAATTATTTCCTTCTTTCCTTCTCCACCCTTTTCGATTGGATGGTGCTTGTCCTGTAGTGTCCTCAGCTGTCATTGCCGCCAAGTGCAAGTGCTCCTGAGCTTAAAATGGATGTTCGGCTGACACTTATACTCGTATTTCACCAGTTTCACCTCACTCCAGTCTCTCTGGCCTGCAAAAGTACACCAGATCCAGTTTTATCGTCTGCTTAATGCTCAAGTCCTTGCAGCTTGACCTTCAGCCGCAACAGCCTCGGCCCACATGTGTCACAATATTTTATGTACATGAGGAGTACTCTTAAAAACTGCGACTGGGAAACAAAAACCAGCCAAGAGACGAGGCGTACGTCGCATAATGAAGTGCAGAACAAAAAAAAGAAACAAAAACAGAAACAAAGAGGTCATTGAAGAACCGCAGTGGGAAAAAGTGGAATGCCTTCTCTGACTAAATAAAATGCAAATCTAAATGGGACTTAAGTGCAGCAGCAGAGTCGCAGACCAACCAGCTGGAGGCGCACACAATGCTGGTTCTTTAAGAATAGTCTCGAGGGTTTTATGTAAAAAGCCGACATCTGACTGCTGACGCTGCCTACCACTGCCACTGCTGGGATGGTATTGTTGTACGATTCGTCGTCGTCGTTGTCAGGAGAGACAGCCTAGCTAATTATGGATGCTGCTCCAGCCTCACGGAGATGTCGTGTAAACAGCCAGCTAATTGTTTGGTCTGCAGAGGTGTTAACCCCAAAGACAGTTCTTTCAGATGCAAATGCTCTTCGTTTCGAGGGGTGTGTGTTTGAGTGCGCTGTGCCCTGAATAAATTAGTCTTATTTGTGTCTGGGATGTCAGGCAATCTAAACAAATCTCGTGGGCCAGAGGTGGGGCAAGTCGAGTTTGTGCATTTCCTGTAGAGCGACATACACACGCATACATATGTACATATATTATGTAAATCACAATAAGAAATCCGCTCCATCTAAGAAGAAGCTGATTTACCAAAAGAATAAAATAATCCGAAGAAAACCGGAGGAAAAGGACAGGCGGGACAAATCTTTTATATCAATACACACACACCCACACGCGCACACAGCCATAAAGATGGGGAAATTCCGGCTTCCGCCACAGACGGAACCGTTCCTTTAGCCATCCCAATCCCGCCCCATCCAGCCGCAATCATCATAATGTCGATGGTAGAATTATCATAAGATTTAAGCTTTACGAGTGTGTGGAGGGGCTTCGTTCTTAAAGAGATTTATAGCAATTACGGCCGCCTCAGAGGGCACATATAATTAGCTGTCCGTATTCGTATTCCGTTCTGTCACTGGAGAATCGACAGTTGACAATTCCCAATGAGTGATTTTTCAACCTGAACCGGCTGGCTGACAAGTTCATTGCAATCACAATTGGGCGGGCACAAGGAGCAGCAGGATGCTTCTTCCGAATGCTGATTGAATTTCTCGTTTGACATATCTGCTGTTCTGATTGTGTCGCATGTGTGTGTGTGTGTGGCAGGCAGCTGTGAAAGCTATCGATTCGAGCCGGATTGTCTCAGCACCGAATCAAATTCCATCTTGGGCCGGAGCAGTGGCCATAAAAAGCTCTCAGGGCTGATTGCATCGACAAGTGCTGGGTCAATGTGTCAGCGTCAACGCTGCCCATCACACACGGGGATGACACAAATTGTCGGGCCGTGTTGCAAAATGTAGATTTATGCTGTTGCAGCAAACGGTGGAATGGCAGCCGAGCAGCAGCAGCAGCTTGAAAAGAGAGTTTTATTTTTATGAGAGGTGATAAAAAGCCCGCTCGAAAATGACGGCAGCACGAGTATGTACAATGTTTTCTGATGGCACCACGTGGCGTATGCGCGTTTTAAACCGAAATTGCCTTTTGTGCGCTGAATACAGAAGCAAAGCAACCGAACAACCGTCGTCTAACAAGCTACTCCCGCAGGCCATCAAAGCTTCTGGCAAATAAATGACAAAGCCATTTGTAATGAAATATGAAAGCAACAGTAAAAAAAAAAGGCTAAGCAGAACAGAATCTGAAACGGTGGTGGGGAAGGGCGAGTGGGACGAGGGAGAGGGAAATGGGGCAGAAAAATAATCAACATAATACTTATTCATTATGCTGGCCCGGTCTGCTAGGCATAAGTATAGCCTCCAGCGTTAACACAATTTTTATTGGACCCACAACCCATAAACATGATGCGGTAGCCCCTACGGCATAAACAGCAGCGCAGCACACATGCGGACACACATGGCCCCGAAGCACGTCGCAGGAGGAAAATCGATATGCTTTGACTGTCCTCTGGCGCTGTGGTATAGCGCGTCCACACGTCTGGGTTGCAACGCTCGCCGTACGTAGCCTGTAAATCTGCAGTTTTACGCCACCGATGAGCGAAAATTTAAATGAATTTAATCATAAATAAACCAGAGAAATTATGCGAACGAATTTGAACGTTCCGAGCGGAGACTAGTATTAGGTTTCCATCAGACTCCTTGAGTGCTGGTCGTCGTTCCCTTTTTGGCCAAACTTGTTTCGGCCCACAGCCATAAGCAGAACTCTTAACTAGATCTCCGAGTTTACAGAAAAGTGCGATTCGTTCGCCCTTTATGGTCACGGGACAACAAAGTGGGGGAAATAACACACAGACAATAAACAGTGACTTTATACAAAAACCTTTTGAAGTTGTCACTGCTGAAGTTGCTTGTTGGTTTGGCTTATACTCCACTTGGCTTTTTCCCCTTTTTTGTGGCGCTCTGCGCTGGCACCGCCTCCGCCACAGCAGCAGCCGACAAGCCACCGAAATGTAAATTTTGGGCAAAACGCATGCCGAGCCAACTTTACGGCCCTGTCCGACAACTGAGAAAAAAAGAATATTGTTTAACTCAATTTCGCACGCGAAACTGAACGCAACTCAACTCGTATTTTTTGGACGGAAAAGTTGCGAAAAGGAAATCAAAAACACCCCACAAAAAGGCAGCAAAAACCTCCAACCATTCGCAATCAAATTGAAAAATTCTTCATTGTGCAAATATTGATTTTGTTCGCTACGTAAAGTTTTATGTGTTGTGAAAAAAACAAGAGCCAGAGAAATTCGCTTTTCTAATTTTCACTGCGATAAGCTGAACGTAAAGCAAGAAATATTTCATCTTCGTACAGCACTGAACTTGGGGTTGACTGCCACAAGTGTCTGGGGCAAGGTCGACTCTCGGTCTGTGTCTCGGCTGGCTAATTCAACGCCTTCTTGTCTGTCGAGTCATGTGTTCCGAGTTTTTATCTCTTCCCCAACATATTATTTATGGTAATCGACATCAAATGCCGCCATTAAGCTTATTGCCATGGCAAGCGGGCAGCAACAAAACATCATTTCAAACACCACTGGTGGCTGGAGCTGTTTCTGTTGCTGTTGCCTGCAAACGGAGGCAGAGTCGAACGCTAAAAATATTCTCCATTTGCCAAAGGAATATCAAAAAAGGTGGGGAGTCCAGCCGAAGCTGTAAGCACTCTCTGCACACGCTCCAACAGTTTTTATGACATCTTCTAAAATCTTTATTATTATTATATTATTTATTATATACCCTTATTATATTATCTTAATTTTTCTCATGCTATACAAGCTTAAACTTAAACTGAAAAAATGATTTCTGTACTTGAAAGAATGCCTGTGGTAATGAACCTCTAAACATGCCTGTAGTAAGAGTATAAATCCGCACAAATTTACATCCAGTGTAGGCGATTTCTCATATTTGGCTCGTTTGGGTTTTTTTTAGCGTGAACAACTGCGTGTCAAGCACGTCTCTGCCCTCCTCTACATCTTACCCCTGCCCACTGCTGCATCATCCTCCCCATAATTGGTTTGCATTTTGGTTTGATTTCTGTGTGTAAATGTATGTGTATGGGTATGTGTATATGTCTGTGTATGTGTGTATCTTTTATCACCTTATCAGCAGAAATATTTGCATAATTTGAGAATTTTGATGGAATTTAACAAAGGCTTACCACGAATTCCCCGTTCAAGCTTATTTAATGAAGCAAAAGTACATACATAAATATGCATATACATATTTCTTGATGCTCCATTGGTGCATGATAGATAGGACTCAAAGGTATGATAATTAAATTATCGTGTGCCAATATCAAAGGGAAAACTTTATTTTCCAACTCAAATGGAATTTATACATGCATATACATACATACATATTTTTTCGGAACATTTACCATTTTGAACTTATTTAATTACAAACTTTTTCATGCACATGTAAATTGCTGAAATTGTCGCCA